GTTCGGAGTCTAGTGTTCAAACTAGGAACTGGAACTTTAAATTTGGAGTTTGTTGCTTAGATTTAAATTGTATTGTCAAAACTGTTACTATAACGTACTTGGTCCAAACACCAAAGGATTCCCTTTTTACTGTTCTTTACAACTGTACAAATTGAAAAAATCATGTATTTTAGTAAATACTTTATGGTCGTCCGTCTGCTGATGTGCAGAACTTTATTAAATGTCTCAAATCACTTGGAGCCAGCGTTAAGCTGGGATGATTTATAAATTATGCAGCTGTCATAAAAGTATGTATGCACCAAGTGTTAAGCTGATCGAGGATTCAAAAACATTTATAAGATGGCTTTCATTTTGTGACCAATGTGAATGTGTACATGACCTTCACCTATACCATGAGTTGGTTAACGATGATTTCATTATAATATGGCTCTACTTATGAAGCGATAAAGCGCGCGTGAAAGCCCGTTTCCCCCTCGTGGGGCAAGGGGCAAACACATTTCTGTGTCCGTTTCACTGATCCGTTCTTTAACGGGTAAGTAGTTGATCAGACTTCTGTGCCCTGCCCGACCGAAACAACTTTATGTTTCCCTGGGATTCAAACCCAGGACCTCTCGCGCTTAACGCAATGCTAGGCAATACGTTTAACCATTTGGCTACAGAGAGAGAGAGATACATTAATACTTAACTTTCAAATATATAGTACCTGATTCAACGACTTCGTCCGCGTAGAATAGTTATTTTGGGCATCGAATTTGTTTTTGCAAACTTCGTCGTCGTTCGTGTAAGTAAATCTTAAAAGATAGACAAATAGTGTCATGGACTTTTTTAGATCTTTTAAAGAGGAATCATTGTTTCGTACTTTATTTATTTATTCAATCACAAAAATTAACTTAACAGGTTAAACCTAATGCGATAGAGAAAAAAAAATAATCAAATACATTAAAATATTAATCATTACAAATAATATATGAAGCTACTTTTATGAATTCACCCAGGGAGCAGTGAAATATGTCTGTAACCCGATCTGTAGCGTTGAGAATCCTAAGCGCACGCGTCAACGTCACCTCAGCTAACAAGTTAGTGCGCGCACGAGGAACCACCAGCAACTGCGGACGCTTTCACGGCTTATATATTCATTTATAGATACATACAAATTAAAATTCCCCTATAATTAAAGTGCACCTATGTTTACTTATTTTTGTGGAAGTTTGAACAGTTTTCGCAGCGTACGCTCGATAAATGCTCTAACCAACACAAAAATAAAATTCGAATCAGTAGTTCCTGACATTAGCGTCTTCAAACAAACAAACAAACTTTCAAATATTTTCCCTTATCTTATAGAAATAGTCGCTAACTCCTACGACTTAAAGTCTTCACTGGCTGTCGGCTAACGCAAGCTTTTTTAGTAAACAGACTTATTAAGGTTTTTCTTGCTGACGTTTGGTCTTAGAATTATTATGTTACGTGATTACTTTCTCAGTTTTTTTCTTCAGTATTTAGTAAAGTTACTATGATTTGAAATACTGTTGCATACTAACAAATTTTCTTTATAAAAAAATTTTTTTTTTATAATATATATTTGGCAAACTTAACGGCTAACAATAATAAATCATTTAGTAAAAGGAAGTGTAAACGTGTGAACCTTAGGAATGTTTCCACTTATAGAATGAAGAGAGTACAGTTTTACAATTAATTAATTTTAAACTCTAAATTTCGTAAATACGAGAGTATTTCTTACTTACTTAGCCTTACTTTCAACCAGTACATTGCATAACTAAAATGACAGGTTATAGATAGCAAATAAATCATGCATTAAAAACATGGGAGATGGAGAAACATTGATTTTTAATCTTCTTTGTGGGCAAGTATTTTTTTTTTGCATTCCGTTAGACAGACTGACTGAGGAAAAATATGATAGTTTCAAAATAAAACTCTTTTAACAGTTTAAAACCTGAAATATAGGTACTAGTTACTAACTTATATTTAGCCACGGCCGATGTTTTGGATGCAGTAGTTAGGTGGATATAATAGATAATATATAACTCTATAGAATTCGCGTTTCAAACCGTTATAAGTGTTTAATTTCAATATATGCTATACATGTAGACTACAGACAGTTATTAAATCCGTGGAATAAACGGGCTGTCTTATATTATTTATTAATTATATTCCAGGGACGTATAATTGTAAAATAATTTAATGTTTCTCATAGTTCTATTACAGAATTACCAAATCGAAATTTCAATCAAATAGCGTAAATTCAAATAGATTTTAATTAAGGAAATTATTGTGTTTTCGGATTAATCCGCGCCCGCTACTGCGTCAGCCATAAGTTTAATTGGATTTATATTATTGTATTGTCAGTAAGTATTTTAAGCTGATTAGTTGTTTTAATTAAACAGCCTAAGATCCAACCTATCCCGCCCACCCATTGGAGTTACTTGCCATGGGCCATGTACTAAGCAGTGGGATAATTATGAGTTGATAACTTCACACATACAACATATTGTATTCATACAGAGTATTCGAATTAACCTTTAACGGTTTTAAACGTGTAATATATTATTAACTTCTTTTTAATTTATTTAACGCCTCTTCGTTTTGGATGCTTTACAGATTTTAATTAAGTCGGGCAATCTATGTCGAGTTTAAAACCGTTCAGTGTTTTATTTAAGCATGTTATTGGTCTATATAATTATATTGTGTAAGTTAAAGAAATCATTGGATTACATATATAAAATTAATAAATGTACGTTTGTATCTTAGGATTAATGTTAAAGCAAATGCAAAATTTAACATGTTAAAAATGTATTGGTTTCCCCTCGTGGGATATGGGACGAACACATACCTGTGTCTATTTCATTGATCGGTTTTATTTACATGCGAGTAGTTGATCAGAATTCTGTGTCCTGCTCGATCTAACAATATAGCTTTCCGCGGGATTTCAACCCAGAACTACTCGCCTAACGCAAGGCTTAGCAATACGTTAACTACTTAGCTACAGAAACGGTCAGTAAGGGGCGTGGCGCTTTGCAGTTAAAAATGTAATTGGTAAAATTGAATCTATGACCCACCAATCTCTATCATGCCGCCATTGTGAAACATAGTTGCGTATAAATACATTATCGAACAATCGGGCTATTTCCAAATTTCAATCATTTGCTAACTTCACGGTTCAAAAGTTGTTAATTTATTAAAGCCCTTTGCAAAGTTGTTCTAACGATCCGTTCATTTAGCCTATTGAGAGTTAATCATGGAAATGTTTATTTACATAAATTTATGAAATACGTATTTAGCCATAACTATAAGTAAGTAACTAATGGCTAAATACGCCTATATGATATTGAGACGGAGTTTCGATTTACGTTTTTACTTCTGTAATGCATTAACGGACAAATATTTCAAAAATTATTTTCAATAATGCTTTAAATGACATTTTTTCATATAAAATTGTGTCTAATGACAACAACGGGCTTGATAGTCTTGTAAGACGTTTAGGAACTAAAAGATTTTTTATTTTCAAGTATTTATTTTATTTAAAAAAAAGAATATCAACGAAATTCTTTAAATGTTGTGTGTAATTATTGTATACAATTGGATATTTGAAAACTTTACTATTTTTTACATGTTATTGCACATGATCCCATTACATAATTTAAAAAATCAAATTAAAAAACAACAGCACGGAACGCTGTCGATGCCGGTTGAAGTCCTGCCGGAGTCGACATTTTTTTCAATTCATTTTCGATTTTTAAATTACAATTGGATCATTTAACTTTAATACAAAAGGCCTAATAAAAAAAGGCTTAATAAAAAAAACTGTTAAAATTATAATAATGAAAAATCTATTCTGTTCTACGATTATGAGTACAGCGTTGATATTTATCTTTACTTAATATAATAAACTAGTCGCTGTCACCTACGTTTAGTTTTTTATTTATAGTAGCACCCTTGGACTAAGGCCTCCTTCAAATGTCACTTTGTTTGTTTAGGGTCACCTTCGTCTATCCGGACCTGTCATCGTATTAATATCGCCATGTTTTATTAGCCGAACCATTTTACTTAGAGTTGGGAGTATTGACAAAAAGTGAAATGTACTAACAATCACATTGCAATAAATTGTGTAAGGCTTTCACGGCCATCGTTCACCATATCATTGTTTTTCGGACTGTTCGGCCGACGTGAGCGAGAAGAGGTTTTCGATGTTTCGCCATCGCGTGGGATAATGCATCGAGCAATCAGGAGATATTAACTCCTAGATTCAATAAAAAAACCCCCCGGGGGGGGGAAAAAAAAAAAACCCTTCCCCCCCCGGGGGGGGCGAACCGCAAGGAAAGGAAAGGAAATGAAAATGGGTTGGTTTGATAAAAAAAAAAATCTAATGCCATCCTCTACGCTGAAAAGAAACTCTTAAAGAGTCACTAATAAGGAATCTGATTTAATCCGAACTAAACTGGAGTATTTGAAATAAAGAACTATTTTATTCAAACTAAGTGTATACTTATGATACGCTAACTTAATTCGTATATATTTATATGTTTTAAATTCAGCTGTTAGTACAAATTTTTCTAGATCCGTTAAACTTTTTGTTTTTTGAAACATTAGTTGTGTTGATACAACTGTTACTAATAATTGGTAATAAACGGTTATTGCCTTATTCTTTATAGTCCTATAGTCTTAAAACATAGACACGTACTATCACAAACATTTTCTTTTTTAGATCATTTAAATTTGTCGCAGTGCAAGCAACAGAAGTCCTTAAAGATCATTATTCCAGATTTTTTCACACTTTCCGCTGTTTTCTCGCTATGATTGGTCGCAGTCTGATTCTTTATAGCCTAAAACCTTTTTCAATAAATGCACCAACCAGCACAAATATAATTTTTCTATTCAAATAGTAGTACCTGAGATTAGCGCGTTCAAATAAACAACTTTTCAAATCATATCCTTGGTATAATCTTTAATTTTTTACAGTACATTTACAATTTTTACAGCGTACATCAATTCTTCATATTCTCCGCCATCTTGAGGAATATGTCACGAAGCAAATTTGCCAATAATGGGTAGTTCTGCCCTAGGAGCGGTGCCCGCAGTTGTGGAATACACATCTGTAATAACAATAACTTAAGGCAGCTAAATTTATACTACTAAAACTTTGCTAATTACTTTGCTATTGCTAGGCGAGATGTTGATTGGATTAATTAAAACCTTTTTTTATTTTCGAGAAATTAAACGGCCCGACAGTTAAAGTGCTTTACATTAATTTCAAAAAAGGTTATTGCATAGATGTATTCTCAGAAACGAGTGTAGTAGTCAGGCCGAAGTAAAAAATAATTTTCAAATAAGTTTAACTAATATATCGCGTTTTAAACCGTTAAAGTGTTTTATTTAAAAAATATAAAATACTTACCACAGCCAATAAGACGACTAGTATGGGGCAGATAATATTTATTAGGAGTGATAAAATAGTTCTGACTAGCCACCACAGACCAACTACGACTAATACGCTGGCCAGCATTATCTGAAATGAAGCATAAAAAAGTTATTAATAAAATATATTTTGATGGGCTTGTAAATCTTATGAATGGTAGCAATATATGACTAATAATCAAGAGGTATATACGGCTGCGAAACGTGGACGCTAACACTCAAAGATGAGGAAAAGCTTTTAGTGGCAGAACGCAAAATACTGCGGAAGATTCTGGGACCGACACAGAAGGAAGACGGTAGCTGGCGGCCGCGAAAGAACAAGAAGATCGAAAATCTGTTTGCCGCCCCTAACATCATGGGAGAAGCTCGAGCTCAAAGACCCGCTGGACCGGCCACGTCGATACAATGGAAGGGCACCGAAGCGTCAAGAAGGCGTATCTCGGAATCCCGAACGGCCGCCGACCCGTTGGCCGGCCCAAATACCGCTGGAAAGACGCCGTTGAGCTTGACCTGGTGGAACTCGGTGTCTCTGAGAGGCGAACCGTGACGCAGGATCGGCGGAAGTGGCGTTCTCTTGCTGTGAAGGCCAAGACCCACTTTGGGTCGCTGCGCCAGCGGAGTAAGTAAGTAAGTAATCAAGAGGTCGTGGGTTTGATCCCCACCGTGTTCAGCGTGTTTCTAATAATCTGGATATTAAATGGTTGGTAGGAACCAATCAATACTTGACGGTTTTAATCTATGAATTTCCGAATATCCAAAGCCAAAATAGATCAACAGCGCGTCTCGTCAAGGTGTTATATGACTGGTATTTCATCTTCCACCAAATGCTTATCTATCTTCTATCATCGTAAAATATATTCAGCTCTTGGTTCCTCTTCATATCAACATGATTTAATTCATGATCTATTTTATTTTGCCATAAAAAAAGCTAGTACATCTCTACCTGAGCCTCCTCGTGCGCTTGTAGCCATGTCTTGAAGGTCGCGACAACGTTTTTGGTACCTTCGATAGATTCGGCCGACAGTGTCGACATTGTGAACTGCAAATAAAAAATATGGTTACAACTGAATTGGCTACTTCATTTAATTTAAATTGTGTATTTGTCGTTTTTAAATAATATATAAATATCAATTAGTTAATTAGCCTTAGTGTACTCGAATTACGTATATATAATTTCCGAGATGTTTCAACGACCACATAGTATACGGACAAGTAATACTACTGAATAATAGATTATTTCTTTAAAAAAATTTTATATTATGTCTCAAATATGGTGTTTCTTAAAACATAAAATCGTAGTTTGATACAAAACTAGCGCGTGTACAATTTATTTCTTACTACGTGTTTTGTACTACGAAATGCAGTCATACCCTTATAAGACATCCAGGACCGTTAAAATACCAGACATCGATCGAAGGCTTAGCATATAAAATATTCAATAAAAATTATAAGGAATTTTATATAGCCGAGATAAAACATTTATTAGGAACACCCACCAATAAAGTAGCGAGTCAACTTTGCGCACACAAACAAATCGTTTCGCCAAAAAACCGCCTTATATTCCCGGATTGAGGGTTATTGGCGCAGAAACTGAAAGCCACATAATGAGAAGGACCACCTCACACTCATCTTACGTCATTAAGTAATTAGAAAACAATAATTTAAAGTACTGCAAATCTAAAACACAAGGAAGTCTAATATATAATGAATCGACTCGGATGGTGAAACTATCATAAAGAAACACAATTTACAGTTTAAAAGGCGAACTATATAATTTGTAAATCGATTGATTTAAGCTTTGAAAAAATTTACGAAGGGCAGAAATGAACCGGCATCTACAGCTGATTCCGTCCTTTTGTCTACTTACCAATTTTTTCAATCTAAAATCGATTTTTTATTTATATAATACCACCATGTGTAAAATATAAAAGTTTTCAAGCGAATTAAATATTTAAATACGAGCCCACATTTCGCCTTACTTCTACAGCTGGCGTAAGTGTTGGGGACCCAAGATGGCGGTTATCCCTAATGTCTAGTCAGCAATTCCTAACATCATTGTGTAAGTACGCGCAATGCAAATATTTATAGTTGTGTAGTATGTTAATTAAATTTTGATTTATTTCAGTTACCTTTATCATCTTTAATATTATATTCCAATACGTCCCTAAAAACTCGCGTGTGCGGTATTCCTAAGCCAAAGTACTGTTGACAAATGCTCCGCAGTTATTAAACGGGTACATTTTGTGGCAACCTCTGATCTCCCACGATGTTTTCATCGTAAATGTTTACATGACCCGAGTCAAAGGAACTTTTGGTGGCGCGCTGTTTAATCCTATAATAGGTTTTGCGTTTTGTCTTTACACCTATCTTTTCATTTTTTTAAATGGTAGTAACTCTTAATTTATATTTTAAACTAAGTGCGTTCAAACTTTTAAAAACAGCGTTCTTAAATAAAATTAACGGTTTAATACGCGATATATATTCGTTAAATTTATTTGCAAATTCTTTTAACTACGGCCCAACGTTACGTATGCTTTGTAGCAGCCTCTCCCGTCTCCCGGCATCATAAATAAACATCAAACGCGTTTCAAAGTGGTTTATTTAAATGTGTACTACTCGCGCAAACTGCAGGCAGTAGGTACTTACCGTTGGCCCAAAGACAGTCTGTAACCAGCGTCGATCGTCAGATTCATAGGTGTTCATTGCAATGCAGTCTATTAGGTCAGTTGAGGAGACGAGAAGCTTAAACAACCTCCGTCTTACCAACCTGCGGTCTTAGAAGGTAAAATATTTGTAATTATTAGCATTTCAAACGTTCGGGGTTTGAACCTTAACCTTTCGTACTGGTTAGAATAACCATACATGAAGGACTTAACTCATCCATTCATGTATTCAAAAAATATATTTAGCGAAAACAATTTCCACTAAACTGAGAGAATTAATAAAAAAAACAAATAAATTGTTTACCTCTCTTCTCCACGCTCGGCAACATCGGGTCGTGTCATCCATTTTTATCACCAAAGCAAACAAAACTATTTTTTTTCCTATTTTTTTTACATAGCACCGCGATCGGTGGTTCGAAATTTTACAACCAAGCGATGACAGTTTTATTTTTTTTGCCGGTGACTGAATGTTATCGGCCAGATTCACGCAATAAAAATTCACGCGCTGTTTTGTTTAGCAATCGCATTAAGGCTACAGATTAATAATCTTACAAAAACAATTGCACAGCCTATAAAAATAATGGTATTGTCTGCGTGTCACAGATATCAGAATGCATAAAAGCGCGCGGTTTTGGTAAATTGAATACAAAATATTTTTTACTTTTTATTGTTTTATATCTATCTGTATAATATACCCTAAGTAGATACATAGGTATATCGCTGATTTTTGTAAAAAATATATAGTTATGTTAAACCACAAACAAAAATAGTTTTAATGGAATTTGCTTGAAGCCTAGTGTTTGCCCATAAAAATGTGTACCATACTTTGCTCAGTGATTTTAAGAAAGATTTCTTAATATTAACAGTTTCTCCTTATAATCATATAAGTAGTATAGTAACTAAAATGATTCATTCAATCGACAATCAAGCATAGCTAAATGCGTGAAGTATCTAAACCGCGATAACTCTTGAATTTAAATCCTGGTAAAATATAATAAACAGTTTCGGTCGAACAGGGCACTGATGTCGTCCGTAGAAAATATTAATACTAATTGAACATTCCCAACCCTATTGCTTAGACAAAACGAGTTTTCATCATGCTTAGTTTACCGCTGAATCGAAAAGGAAATGTAAGTCGTGTACAGCACTTATAAGATATATCATAAAAATTCCCTTTTTCGAGTTCCGTTACGAAAGATTAAAAACACTGACTCTGTAAGATGCTATCAATAAAACTTCGCTGTCTATCTGTCAGGCAATATCTCAATAGGCGGGATAGCCAAAAATTTGAATCTATCACGAATGATGTTGTGTTAAGTCTATAACAACAAATAGATATTTAAATAAATTATGATTATTTAGGCTAATATCGATAAATCTTAGCAGGTAACAACTTGAAATAACAAAATAAGATATGAAACCCCTCGTGCGATTTCGACTCGCACTTGACCTTTGAAATCCCCGAAGCCCAAACAAAACATTACGTGACCGACCAACAACTGTTGCTCTGAGATTTAGGAAAATATTGACCACACGTTTTCGTTGTTTTATTCTTAACAAAATGTCTGTGATTCATAACAATGTTATAAAGTGATTTACAACAAAAAACATTTCATTCCTCCAAGGAATTACATGTTTTTTTACCTAATATGGAAATCAATCATTATGATGGATTGAACGATTACTATCTACAGTTTACGCGAGTAATTAACATAAAATGTTATTAATAAACACTATTCAACGGTTTAAAGGGATTTTGTTTATGTATATGAAATGTTTTTACGATTCAGCCGTTCGGTGTCCAATGCTGGACATAGACCTCCCCCATAGACTTCCAGTACGACCGGTCGTTCGCTAGTTGAATACTTGAATCCAGCGTTTCCCTGCTGCCTTGACCAGGACGTCGGTCCACCTGGTAGGAGGTCGTCCAGGTTTTCGACGTGGTCTCCATTCCAGAACCTTTTTGCCCCAACGACCGTCAGTTCTAATAGCGTTGTGCCCAGCCCATTGCCACATCAGCTTGCCAATTCAATGGGCTACGTCAGTGATTTTAGTTCTACTACGGATCTCCTCATTCCTGATTCGATCACGCAGGGTAACTCCCAGCGTAGCCCTTTCCATCGCACGTTGAGCGACGCGTAGACTGTGCACCATGCTCGCATTAGAAGACCATGTCTCGGTAGCGTACGGACTCACTGGTAAGACACACTGGAATGTTTAGTCTAATAAAAAATAAATTCTAGAAATATAAAGTATTTTCAAACCGTGAAAACTCAAAAGTGATTTTTACTTTTATTTAAATATACTACTAATGCTCAAAAGTACAGTAGACCAAATTAAAAAACCCAACATTAAAAAAATGTATGTAATATTAAACTGAATTAAATTTACAAAAAAAAAACAAATATTTTATCGGTTGGCCTACAATGAGTTGGTTGAATGACATTTAACAATGCGTTTTAACCTGACGGAGGATGGCATGGGAGAAGTCAAAGTAGGAAAAGATGTGGGGGGGGGCTTTTTGCTAAATACATATAATTTGTCAGATTACTGAAAATAGTGCCGACACATAATAAAATAGAAAACCTATGTATTTATATGTACCTCAGCTAATAAGTCTGTGTAATAATGGCTAGCTAGTAACTAACTAGATTTTCTTACACTTTCTAGTGGTATAAAGTAGCATATTTTCCAATCCTTTTTCCTTGCCCCTTTTGTGATTCTTCGCACGGCTGGAACTAATCCTGCGCTAGCACGCCAACTTTCGTGATTTATGGTCCAATGTGACACAGGCTTAGGAAAAACTGTTATTTTCATGGAAACTTTAAATGAAAACACCTGTGCGCTTGATATGTAATAAATGAGAAGGTAGTGGCTGCATATAGAGGAATTATTCTTTTTATGATAGATGAGAACACATACACGTGAAATTGATTTTAGAAAGCTCCCGTTTAACATCTAACAAGATGCGCGGTTTCCAAATTCAGAGATTTCGTATTTTTATTCTTATTTCAAGGACCTAAATTTAATTTATATTTATACCTTAATTTAATTTTATGTTTATACCTAATTCAATTATTAATTATGCAAATTAAAATACTTTTTCGATTCAGTTAAGTATACTTGTGAACTAATTAAACTCATTTCAGAAAGCGGGTTTTCTGAGCTTTGAAGAGTGTTTTTGATTGAGAATCAGTCAGGCATCGCCAACGTTTTCAACTTACATTAATATTAACGTATAAAACATTTGCAGTGTACTCATGTTAATTATATATATTTAAGAATTTAAAATACGTAAATGAATTTTAATAAATATTTTAGTCATAAAATCCATTTATGTACTTAAAATTTTTAAAATGTATATCTGAAGAATAATAGAAATATCTTCAAAATATAGTCTATCGAATGGGTATGGTATGTAATAAGTCAGTAAATATAGACATATTTAAAAAGAAAACAAAAAATAATCTGTATTTTCTTAATTAAACCGCCTTATCTCAAATAGGAAAACATCTTATAAACGCTAAATGTTAATATTTCACGATAATTCATTCGAGGTCGCAAGTTCAACTTGCCACAGATAAATCAGTCCAACAAAATCTCGCCAAAGATGTACCGTGTTTACTTTTTAACTTTATTTATTTTAACTGAAGCTGGGTGGCACGGCCCGAGGATGGGATACCGAAAATTCAAGAAAAGCAATTTGGAAAACCCCGAAGTGATTATTGAGAAGATCGCAAGTCATTTGAAGATAGCAGATAAAATCACGGCAAGCAAATGTACTCAGTACAATAATCCTAGGGAGACCTATGACTACGAAGGCTACATCCTCAAGTACACTCTGCCCCACGAGTTAGAAGAGTTTGTGAACGTCAAAATAAAAAACAACATGATGTTCATAAAGGCTAAAATGCAACAATCGCAGCTATCCGACATAAAGATTCTGCAACACAATTTGGAGACAAGAGACGCCATCTGGTGGATAGACGGGGAAGATCTAACAATTAGTATGCCAAATAGGATCAAAGATGGCGTTTACGCACCGATGAAGTGTGAGGATAGAGAGATAGACATCGATGTTCCTCTGAGTCCTGAATATAGTGTTTACCAGTTTCTGCATATGAATATTTATGAAAAACCAATTGTTACAAACGTCTGAGAATGGTAATCTCAGTACAAGAATATTAAGGATTTATTACTAAAAGTTTATTTATCAATTCAATTTTACTTAGACTAGAATTTTTAAAAACTTCTATGGCATTACAAGTAAAGCGTGGAATATTTTAAATTGAAAATTTTGAGTATGAGGCCACTAGAGTCAGAGTAGCCTAACTGCAACTTTTAGACTCGACTTATTTATATTTTTATAGTCTAAAAATGTTAACAAGAGCACAGTGAACAAAAATTGTTAACTCAATTCTTACACAAATAATAGTACAAATTCATTCTCGCCTAAGTTTTTTTCCCATTTTTAAATTTGTCACCTTATTGAAAATTATGTTTTTTTTATTAGGCCACTCTGCCTCTAGCAGCCTCATAAATAATACTTTGTTACTTTTTTAGTTATTTGATCTAATAAATCTTTGGAATATTTAAAATCTCTGTACCTAATGAAAAAAATAATTTGCGCGTTACTGCAAGTAGATATTAGTCGTAACTAGCAGATGAGCAATTTAATACGTAACAATAGTAGGATTATATGAGTCTTGAATATGTCATAGCATTACTTCAGTGCAACGCGAACAAAGCTGCAAATGACGATAATAAGACTAGCTCTCTGACAGCGCGATAAAATGGAAACGGCATTTCGTATTATTGTATGCATTTGGCAGATCTGTTTCGAAGTGAGAATATTTAGCTTATGTCAAATTTGAGCAGACACACTCTTTACCCAATGCCAATTATTATAGTAGATGGAACTGGAACATATCTGGAACATGTAAATAAAACACTAACGGCTTAAAACGCGATATATGTTAGTTCAACTTATTTGAAAATTATTTCCCCGTTGTTTCGGATGCTTTGCAGCAGCAAATAATCTATCGCGTTTTAAACCGTTAAAATGTTTATTTAAACGTTGACTACTCGCGTAAACTACAGAGAGTATCTGCATTTAACTAGCGCTTAGTATATATATAAAACTTTTGTACAATTACAAGCATTTCTAAATTGCCTTAATAATATATTGTTCTCCAGTGCTCTCCGATATTTTTTAATTGCACAGTAATTTGTGAAAATTGCCGAGTGTTTCTAATTAATTGACATGCGAAATTTGAGATTTTAAGGGTCTTTGGCTGTTACTGATCGACATAGACTATATCATTTACATTATATTACAATATATTTTTATTACACTTATAGAATAATTAGGAAGCTGATTTGACCTTATTTCATTCGACCGTATTTTGTTTAAAATAATAAGGATAAAGCGGAAAAAATGTTCTATCGAAGTTAATCAACCGTTGTATAAAGCATATGGTGCATTTTGTACAACAATAGTATTGGCAATAAGTGGAATAGCTATTAATTATTATTTTTATTGGTATAGCTCTATATATGGTTAGCAATGCCACCCTTTGATATTTATATTACATCATTACCTAAGAATAAGAAATATTGAGATGATACTTAGAATCTTGCATGCTTGAAGTCCAACTAACGATAGATTGACAATTCTTATCATGTTCACATATTTAGCAGTGCTTTTTGAGAAAAATAATTAATATATTTCATTAATTGATTTTTTAATTAAATTAATTTTTCTACATAAGATGACACAACTCAATACAAGAAAATATTGTTATTTTTTACAAAAAAGCAATGCTAAGTATGTGGACATATTATTTAGGTACGTGAAAAAAAAACGATACATTTAAATGAATTATTGCATATAAGACATTTTGCAAAATTATGTTGTAGTTAGCATTAATAAGTGTTTAAAAGATAAGGAATACACGATATACATAAATTTATTCGTGACGCGACAGTTAAACATATAACCTTAACTTGTTCGTTGTTATTACATTTGATGTGTTTCAGTAAGAAACGACTTTATTTATTACGCAAAAATTAAACAAAGGAAATGATTTACAATAATCTAAGTTACTTAAGACATAATGATTAGAATATAATTTTGAATGTAGTTTGTGTTTTAACCAGTTTATTGTTGGTTTATAATGAAAACACTAGTATATTGAAAGAAATTGATCTATCCTTAATATTTTTTGTCATTTTCGTATATTAGCAGGTGTAGACTAAAATAGAATAGTCATTTACTAAATTACAACCATTATTATTTAGCCTTGAACTGAGTTGTGTGTAATTTACAAAATGCTAGCATTTGACTTGTTATGACGAAAATCTATACATTATCTTTCTGTTATCAACACACCATGCTAAGAACATTAAGACTAACGTATAAAGTAGAAGTGTTAATGTTAAACGTTATTATAAGTATATTAACAAAGTTAGAGAGAGTTATAGAAGATCTTTATAATCATATATTATAGAAGATAAAAGAAGTTCTATCAATTCGAAAACTCTAGAAATTTCGAATTTCAAATGTTGAAGTAACCTTAGTTACTCATATTATTAGTAATTACTGCAAAATATTTCAAGCATAAAATATATTAGATATAACTTGGGTTAATCCATCACGAAATTGACCAAAACCACTAATTATATAAACATAATATAATATGAATTCTTATTCGTTCATCATAAATAGCATCAACAATGTAAAGTAAAACTACAGTTTTAGATATATCTTCTATAATATCTTATCCTACCGTTTAAAATAAAATTAATATACTATTGACAAAGCCATTAAGAATGTAACTTTAATTACTTTACCATTCAGCACACAAAACAATAAAAAACAGCGTACTAATTACTATATTTTATTTTCTCACTAAGTTACAGTGCAAATTGTATCACAAAAACCAATTCTCTTACCTAATTCTAATATCTTGAGAGCGGTACAAACTCGTAATCATCCTTCAGACCTTCCGAATATGTTGTGCCTTCAGCCTTTGGTATTTCGTTGGTTTGTATATCGACATTGGAATCCGAATTGTCAATGCCTATATCTGCGTTCGTGTTAATATCTGTGTTGTCAGTTTCAATTTCTTCCCGACTGTGGCTCGGTTCTGCAGTCTGTATTTCGGTAGCTTCAGTAGAATTAACAGGGAACACTATCTTTAATATTCCATTATCGTAAGTCCAGTCGCCGTTTTCACCAACACAGTCCGGCAGGGACCTAACTACCATGTAGTTTGTTGTGGACCCTGGACCGAAGTTATGCCTAGCTTCAACCTTCAAAAGCCCCTTCCTCGCTTTTACTGAGATATCACTCTCTTGGAAGCCGTTTAGGGGGATTTCGATTGTGTACTGATTGCCCTCGATGCCCTCTTTTGTGGCTACTTGGGGGATACTCTTGGTGATCGCTTGTATTCTATCTTCTAACGTCGCCATTTCCCTGTTAAATTGTCGCCAGAAGCTTTTCATGTTCATGATGTCATCACTCATCATGCTTTCCAAGCTACTTTCATCACTGAAGGGAAAGCGGGGGGCTGCGCTCGCGCAGGCGATACCGAATAGCAAGATGCGCAACATTGTCACGGTGTGTTGTTGTATACACTGAGGCGGGCGGCGTGCGAGTCATATTTATATGGCCGAGGTCATAGTTTATCGTGTTATCGGTATTTTCTGGAGTGAGCGAATGTCTGAACGGACGGGGATTTCTTAGAACGAACGCCAACGGCACTGTTTACAATACTTTTAACAAAATGTATTGATTGAAACAGATGTTTTTAATGGTACAATTTTATTTTAACGTATCATATTTTGTGTTAAATAGAGAAGAAATATACATCAAAGTAAGACCGTTACTTTGCGAAATTAATTTAAGACCTACATACAATTATGTTTTATAAAGCCAGGTTAGAACACTTTATTTTCTTAATTTGCAAATACTGGTTAAATTAATTTATTCGGCACGGTGCTTACTCTACTAAGCAGCTAGGTGCAGCAAAAGCAGTATGTTGTCTCCTAACATTATTCATTCATATTTAACAATATGATATATATATATACATGTCTTCTTTTTTTCTTGTATTTGTAAAAGGTGGTTCTCATATGGCAAAATACCCTTACTTTAGCTACTAAATTATAAAATTTCTAATTGACTCTTACAAAATCTGGATATTAAATCGGGAAGAAAGAATACCGAAATTTAGTTTGTGAATTTCCGAGTATCCAAACCAAAAATAGGTCCATAGCGCAACTTGCTTAGAGTGATATTATATTATGGCTGGAGTATTTCATCTACCGTGCTTGTCTGTGATTGAGATTTTTTCTTGACTATGATTGGGTAAGAATAATATTATATTTTAGAAAATATAAATAGAAGAGATTCTAGTTGAGCTGGATCGAACCGAGTTACGCTGAGCATAAAGATAGTATAAGTATATGCATCATGTAAATAAAATTTCTATAACAAGTTGTATCCGTCTAAGTGAACTTTGGTCCTTATTGTGATAGTTGAATCATTAGCGGAAATTAATTCTATATTGAACATTTGTATAAATTCTAATGGATAGATAAGAAAGGAAATATGTTAAGAAACGTGTATATGCTTACTGTCTGCTTTGGCTAACGTGTAGAGCCGCCATTGTGTAGAACGGGGTTGGTGATCTATTTGGTACCCAAACCCGCGTTCTACACAATGGCCAACGTATTGGCTAATACATTCGCCAAAATGTTGGCTAACGTGTAGAGCCGCTTGTGTACGTTTATGAATATTTTAGGTAAATAATCGCAATGTGTGAATTTGAAACAGAATGAAATTTTTTAAAACTTATTTTTCACTGTCATACATTTTTGAATTCATTTTGAAGACAAGTAGTTGATCAGACTTCTGTGCCCTGCCCGACCGAAACAATTTTTAGTTTCCCTGGAATTCGAACCCAGGACCTCTCGCGCTTAACGCAATGATGGGCAATACGTTTAACCACTTGGCTACAGAGGCGGTACTATTTTTTAATATTAGTCTATAATTTAGGAATACTATATTATAAGAATGAAATCTACAAATGCATACAAACACACAAAAAATAAAGCCAAGTTAGGGTTTGAAGATAATTAACATCTTCAAATCCCTGACTTTAAAAAAGCTTTATTAATTCTAAATAGTATGAAATAAAAATTAGTTAATTAATACTAGTATACCTACAAATTTGTAAAAATCGTTGTTAAAAACTAAAAAATTTAAATTATAACGGTAAAGGTTGGAGCCGCCATTACGCGAGTAGTGCACATTTAAAAAAAAACTTTTAACGTCTTAAAACGCGATGTGTATTAGCTGAACTTATTTACAAATTTGATTTGTTACTGCAAAGCATCCGAAACGTGTCCTGACATTGTTAAATTTCTAGATTATTTAAAAGTTTAACATTTTGTGTTTTAAACCGTTCAAAGAGTTTTATTTAAATACGAAATTCTATATAAGATTCGCGTCAGTGTTCTAATTTGGACACAGGTTTCCTTACTCATATAACTCTCTACTAGTGTAAGATCTAAGACCCACCTCGCTACTCCAATGTGGGATGAACGGGACTGACGGCCTAAGGCATTCTCCGAAGCACCGGATTATTGCAATAATTATCCTCTTTTCTGCCATTAATTTTAATATTACCAGGAAGTTAGTAAAAATGCTGCTTTATGTAAACGATTCTTATCTTTTATGTATAATACTTGAAATAACCTTAAAGAACGACAAGTCGACGGGCTCACTGGTTTAATGGTAGCAATGTATGGCTAAAATAGATTAACGGGTCATGGGTTCATTGTCCACCGAGTCCAAAATATTTCTTATAAAAGTATAATTTTTCTGAATCATGTTGGACATCATCTGGAAATCTAGATATCCGTTTCGGATTCAGTCCGTGTTCATTTCTAAATATCCAAAGCCAAAATAGGGCGTCATCTACCACCATAAAAAAGTAACATGTAGCTATGTTTTCGTCAAGTATCATAACTTAATAAATCAGCAATCACCTCGAGTAGTTCACTTGCGGCTTGCCAAGCGTGTGTTAGAGGTATCGACGTCTATTCCGGGTATGGTTATATGCATTGGCTTGGCAAAGCAATAAAGTATGACTCGTTGCCCAAACGCACACTTGATTCTGTCTGATCAATTGCCACAATATTAACTATTTAAATATACATGTTCTGTCGATGATTTTATTACTATACAATCAACGAATAAATGTTTTCACAGATTATCTTTCATACGATGTTCTGGAAATTTAATCGTTAACAATTTTCATGTACACAAAGGCATGGCGGAAATAAGTAAGTACGTAGGTACTTATTTATTATCAGCGGGAAAACACAGCAATGTCACGAAAGGTGAATTTTGTCAGCACGCAAATTTTCAGCGCTGTTATTATTTTAATTATTACATCGTACAATTTGTATTTTTATAATTCTAATTAATCTTTTAAAAAGTGTTGGACGGCGTTAAAAAAGGTGTAAATTTTTAAGCTGAACTTGTACGAATAGCACACTTTTTCACGTTTTTCAATTCTTATCAAACATCTTCTCATGATGCCGTCCGCTCGTGATGGCGAAACGTCGAGAACCTGGTCTCGCTTCTCGGCCGAACAGCCCGAAACCAATGATATGCTGAACGATGGCCGTGAAAGCCTTACACAATTTATACTGTACTGCTATTGATTGAGCTGCACTGTCAGGTCGTTAGTTCGTGTCCTACTCATATTTCACACAGTCAGTATGTATAGGGTGGAAAACAATAGTGATTCAAACATAAAAACTCTAGGAACTGTATGTTTATTTTATTACATTAAATGTAACGGTTGTTTGTTTTATATTTATTTTGTAAATAAAAAATATTAACATCAAATCTTTAAATTCGTCAGTTTCTTGTTTGTATCTTTTACTTGAATTTAACGAGTCCGCTTGTATAGATCTAGTTTAGTAATTAACAAATGAATCAGCGTCACAAGTTAATAAAATTCCACATTTTGATGTGGAATAATATCTCATATTTTTTTACGAAGACGGCTCTGTATGACTCAAATGTGCGATAACATTCATGAATTAATTGACTCATGAATTCACAATAAAACTGTCGTGATGAGTGAACATTATAAATTACTGGCATTTTAACATTTCTATATAACTATGTCGCAGTTAAGCGTATTAACTTAACGATTTAAACTACAGAGACATATTTTGTAATAATAGAGAGTTTTGGCTTTGTCATTTGTGAAAAATATATTATTTTAATACTTATTGACACTACCACAATGACACAATGAAACAGATTAAAAATGCAAACGAGACTTACACTAAAGAGTGACTGTACTAGTGAGCGCTCTTCCAAGTAAGTTATAACAACTTTAGTCATTAAATTTTATTACTTGCTATAAATAGCAATTGATAATAATTATGGAATAATTGTGCTAATCTTAATTTTTTAGTCTTTCATTATATTGCCCGATACTAAAATAAAGAAAATGAAAAATATTGAATGCAGAATAACTGCCATCTAGCAATTTAGAATACAACCACTTGTACTTTGTTTTCTATACCAAACAGTAGTTGCAATGAATTATTACAGATGTCGCTTTATTAATATAAATATTGTCAAATATCTTCCATTATTCATACGCACTAATGTTACTTCTGACTCTAAAATAATATTATTAACTATTTCTTTTTTATTTTATTTTTTTAGGCTATTCTCAATATTTATTTGTGTTAGTAATAAGTTAAGTTCTACTTACATTTCAGGTAGTTGGTATTAAAACAAATAAATAAAGTCAATATGACTAGAGAATTTATTACTTAAATAAATCATTATAATTAAACAATAAACGAACGAACAATTGCCGACTTACATGTAATAATAAACACACTGGGTATAAGATCACAAAACTGGAATCTGCACGAGAATGACAGAAAAAGCGATTATAATTAAGAATTATTCAGTCTTCTCTCCTTCTACTTGCTTTTTAACCGGCCCGGTTTGCACGATTGGTACAATTCTTTCGGTCGACGCTTTGGGTGAAGGTTTTAAAGGCGCTGTGATTGAGAGGACCCCATCTGAAGACAGCTTGGAAATCACCGCTGACTCTTCAATGCCTTCTGGTAACGGATACCGCCGCACAAAACCACGAGATATGAACCCGTGCTCATCCTGTTTCTCGTCATGTTTCGCTTCTACGACTAAGAAGCCGTCAGCTGTTTTTACCGAAATATCTTCTGGGGCAAAGTGTTGCACGTCTAAATTGACTTGAAACTTATCCTTTTCATTCCTAATCGTTGATCCTTCGTCCTGGTTAGTTGAGCGAAGATTTCTCCATGGTCTGTAGTAGTTATTATTAACTTGCGGCACCGCCACGATGGTGAGGTAGTCGTTTGGCGTCAGTCCCAGACCAAAATGCTGGTCCATCAAACGCTGGCGTGGCCGGGGACGCTCATATTCCACAAAGAATGGATAAACAGACATTTTCAACACTTCACTTTTTTATACACTCGCTAAAATAGCTTTACTTGCAGCGATTAGAACCCAAAGCTCAGCTTGTGACAGAATGACGTTAAGAAACGCCGGTAAACTATTTATATCGCGTGGCTCCATCTCGTACCGATGAGAAAGATATCGAAATGTCTAGAATTTTCTGACTGTGACGCGCATGCGCGAGGCATTCGTTGTAACAGAGGTTTTAGACCTATGGTTCAATTAAAATTATTGAGACTAGGAACTTGACCATGGTTTTCATGTAAAGTATAGTTTACAAGTATGATTATTGTATTACAACTTCTCTTAAGCTTTATCATCGAGACTGATATCGAGATATTGATATAACTGTAACGACGACTGTAAAGGTGTGTTTAGTAACTTGTGACTAAATTTTAAAGATTAATCGAATTTTACGAAAGTTAAATAAATCAGTTGAAATAATTTAGGTATTTTTTTGTAATTGATTTGTAGAAAATAAAAATAAAGACGATATTCGGTCAAATTTGTTTACAGTAATAACAATTTTTTAAATGTTGACAATATATGTACTGTTAATATTTCTACACGATAACAGATGGCGTGCTAAAAAACCTACCTACCTTTTATTTTCTTCGTAAGAAAGTATTCTAGAAAAATCATAAGCACCATTTAATATGCAAATTCTAGATTATTGTTTTATAACTGAAACGAAACATAGACGTTTAAAATGATATGTTTATGTTAATAAAGAAAAACTTAAAAAAAAATATTAGTGTCAATAATATTATATTACTTAATTAAACTTTTTATAAGCTTTTATGTTTATTTTTTGCTTACCAGGTTATTATTTTTACAGTAATAAATTATAATTAATGCATATGTATATACGTGTTGCTTAGTAAAATAACTTGCTTATTTCATATTACGAGTATTCCGCGATATTACCTATCTGTATTAGTATTATGAATTTGGCTCTATTTTATATTTCTTTCACTAGTCTATATTAAAAAAGGTACCTGAAGAAAGTAATCATTCATCATGTAGGTGTAAGTCACTCGAGTTTTTAGCAATGAAATACTGAATTAAGTTTTTTTTTAATATTCTATTAATTTCACCTTAGTCTATGTACACTGAAAAAATAGTTTAATGTGAGATTTTTATTAATTGAATTTTGTCTAATCAGTTTGACACAAAATTTATAGAATTCAATTCAATATTGTTATACAAAAAGTTCGTAAATCTATTTCAAATATGTGTATTTACTACAGACAAAATAACGTATATATCTACGGGAGGTATATTATGTTGATTAGGGATAGTATTGGCAGATTGTAGTTTGGTTGCCGGTAAATATTGGCAAAGCCAAATGCGGCATTACTTTTGTCTTTATTATTATATTATATTAACTACTTGCTAATAAGTATACATACATTTAGAACGGGTATATCTTAATTTAAGTAAGTATTAATATTACGAATATTACAAATGTCTTTAAAGGCTTACTTAAAAACATCAATTTATATATAGATATTAAATATTAATAAGGTTGTTAAATAAAAGAATAAGACGCATTAAATACAGTTTTGTTTATTAAAGAAATTAACAATCATATTAATAATATCAAATATTCAGATTTTGCCCCAGTACTGAACTTTGCTAATTTTTACTTACAAAATATTAAGATTAAACAAAGTATTTACAAAATAATATAGGTTCAGTCTTAATGTGAAATTATACACAGTTTATAAATCACCAGTTGCCAAATTACTTCGCTTCTTCGATGGCTGATTCAGATTTGGGAGATCCAAGTTGTTTCTTTATGGGTCCTGTTTTGTTGATTGGCACGATTCTTTCGCCAGTCGATGGCATAGCCAAGACCTTGGGTGCAGATACCATCAACACACCATCTGATGATAATTTTGACTCCACTGTGTCAGGCAAACAGCCTTGTGGCAGTGCGTACCGCCGTATGAACTGCCTGGAGACATAACCATGTTCGTCCTGCTTTTCTTCATGTTTGCCCTCAACTGTCACGAATCCGTTAACAACTTTCACAGATATCTCATCAGGGGCGAAGTGCTGCACATCTACATTCACTTGGAATTTCTCAGAATCTGATGTTATGTTGGTTCCTTCCAGGGCTAGGTGGTTCACAGCAGATGACAGTTGTTCCATCTGCCTGTACATGTCTTCCCACTGTCGAAACGGGTTTGCCCAGGTCTGATAAAACTCACGAGGAACTAGCTGGTTGAAGTTCGGAAAGTGGATATTTGGCGAGAATAATTCACGCTCCATCGTTCTAAAGGGTCTTTCGTCGAAGAGGCGTGGAATTAAAGACATTTTGTTATGAATCTTTCGCGTAGAAATTAAATGCACTTTTCACTCGCGCTTGATATTATTTCGAAGTCGCTCTCTTTGTAACTGCCGTGCTAACGCTACACTGAGCCTTATATAGTTGTGACAGCGCCACCTGTTAGGGAACACTTAAATTTTTTAGAAGTTTCTTGAAGGAACTAGACACTCGAGAAAATTCTAAGGATTTAAACACATATAGCGACATCTATTAGTGAGTACAAAGAACTTTATTTAACTGATTTTTTGAGTTCTGATTTTTTTTTGTTTTTAAATTTAATTTTTTATAAAATTAACGCCTTATAAAATTAAACAGATCTAAGAAATACCAAACGAAAAAACCAGAACAAAATGATACAACATGAAACACGAATTGGCATTTAACGACATCTAGTACTAACTAGAAAAACCTCAAACGACCTCGACAATTCTATATAATTGTGTAAAACATCATCTACGTGAGAGTAGCAGAACTTTTAATACAACTGAAATTTGTCAGTTTAATTAATTTAAATCCTAATTAGTAATAACTCGTATTTTTCGAAAATTTTAACATACAGAAAGAATAAGGTAATAACTGTTAAGAGAATGTGTACTCTAGTGTGCACGAAACCAGATCAAAGGTTTAAAAGATGAAGTACACCAAAATATAGGTAAGTAGTGCATAATTTCATATTATATTTATATCTGATTAAGTAGTCCTCATAAACATAGAGGCATTGACATGCCGGTCGAGATAATATTGATTAATCAACATGTACTTATAACTAACATCATTATAATGTTGTCTGTACGTAAAACAATATTGGTAGTGACTTTATAAAATAACAAAAATAATGTGTTCTTATAATTCATGTGTCTCATTATAACAAAGAAAAAGAAGAACTCAATTATATACATATTTATTTCGAGGCAGGGTGGGGGATGAAAAACTAGGCAACCTAACTTTTTTAAGGATGTCATGGCCACTAACGGAGAGAGGAGAAGCGTGATGGCTGGTCGACAAGGCATGATCAGTCAAGTGAGGAATGCTATAAAGATTTTAAATTTATGGAGTAAGTTCGCATCCAAAGCAACGGGCGTAGACTAGTGCATTAATATAATTGCAATGTCACAGGGCATCAAAACAGTCGCTTTGTGACTGTATATCAGCGAGTATGGGTTACATTATTCATTTATTTCTCCTCCTGCTTATCCGGTATGCATAATTTTCTATACTTATCTACAGTTATACTAGAAATAATTGTTTTTTACAATTGGGTTGGTATGGTTATAGGTCCTGGGTTTGAATCCCGGGAAAATGTTATATTTTATTTAGATAGGGCGCATAGTCTATGTAGTTAATTAGAGTGATTGGTAATATTTACAAATAAGTTTGTACCTGTCTGTAAATATTACTAATTACTGAATCGGGTAGAGAAATATCTCTTATGACCAGGGTTTGTTGTAATCATTGATAGTGGTTCAAACTACATCAAATCAAATTTTAATTGTTTCTTGACATGAGATTACTTCTTATATTTCTATTTCCCTCGTTAGATTTATCTAACTTTATCTATACTTTGCAAACTTAAATTAAACTCAAAAATATTAACTGACTTTTAGGGACTATTTGTATAAAGTATGTGAATATTATTATTTTCTATATTTTACTGTATAACAGTGCTGCACTGGGAAACGATTCGAAAATATGTTTTCCGAAGAATTTCCTTTTCGGAGTCGCAACTGCGTCATACCAAATAGAGGGCGCTTGGAATGTTTCAGGTAAGAACAATAAAACTACTGTTTGTTATCAAAATGAATCATTTTGAAGCCGCTACACATGAGTAGTAATGTTGCAATAGAAAACAGTAGGTAGTAGTTAGGGCAGTAGACTGCGCTTTGCAACTTTTCTTCCCTTCACTTAAGACACAGACGCGGAAATACGACTACATCGGATTAATTCATTTTCTTACAATGTTTTTCTCTTTTCGATTTTTGTGAAAAAAAAACAATTCTATAAAAGAATTCTTTTCAATAGAAACGTAGTTCTTTTGCGACTCTTTCCACTGCAACATGCAGGTGTTATAGTTAAAAAAACCAAAGTAACCCACAAGTGTCTTATGAGGCAACAATAATATTGAAATTATTTTAACCGTTAACAAAAATAATTAGCCTAACATAATGTTGGTAAAGCCAATTGCAATTTTTAGGTAAAGGAGAAAGCATTTGGGATCGATACACTCATGCGCATCCAGATCGTATTTTCGATCACAACAACGGCGATGTAGCTGCTGACTCGTACCACCTTTTCAAACGAGACGTTGAATTGTTAAAAGAGCTGGGCGTACAGTTCTACCGATTTTCAATATCTTGGCCCAGGATCCTACCTAGTGGTCTCTCAAAGTTCGTAACAATAATCATTTATTCTCGTAAAAATAACTCATCCTAACGTATGTACGTGAAGAGTATGTTTAATCTTAGAAGGGGCTTGTTGGTTTAATGGTTGCAATACACAGCTAATACTCAACTGGTCGTGGGTGCGATCCCCACCGGGTCCAATATGCCTGTTGTCTAATTTTTCAATTTATAATTGTTCTGAAACATGTTGGGACTTCGTCTGGAAATTTGGATAATAAATGGGTGGTAGGAATATCGATATTCCGTCCGGGTCACGAACCACCGTCCACAGATGTAAAAGCCGTGTCTATTCACGTTTCGGTTCCAGTCTGTGGATTTCCGAATAACCAAATCCAAAACAGGTCGACGTCGCATCTTGTTTAGATGCTATAGGCTGGGGTGTATCATCCTACTATCAAGTGAAAACCCATGATTGTCTGTCCTGCTCTATCACTAAAAAATAACTTTATTACAGCGAAATAAATGACGACGGTATTAACTATTATAATAATCTCCTTGACGAACTATCTCGGCATGATATCAAAGCTATAGTGACGATGTATCACTGGGATTTGCCTCAGAGCCTTCAGGAACTTGGTGGTTGGACTAACCCGATTATTGCTGACTACTTCGTGGACTATGCTAGAGTAAGACTTACTTTCTCGTCGTGTTTTAAACTGGCAAAATATTTTGGATTACATTATTGTAATCCAAAATATGTTGCAAAATCTTTTACTAGTATTTATTATTTACCATTGTTTTAATCAAATCATTTATACTAATATGTAAAGCTGAAGAGTTTGTGCGTTTGTTTGAACGCGCTTATCTCAGCAACTACTGGTTCGAATTGAAAAATTACTTTTGTGTTGGTTAGAACATTTTCCGAGGAAGATTGGAGGCTATAAAACATCGCACTGTGACTAACAGGAGCGAAGAAACAGCGGAACATGTGAAAAATCGGGTCAATCACGGTTCAAGATACGTGAAAAATATGTATTAAAGTACGATCCTCTTGAAATGACCTAAAAAATTGTCGGCGACAGAGTATGTCCACCTTTTAAAATTAACTCTTAAGTTATAAATTTTGTAAACATGAGAAGGATTGCAAAAACAAATTTTGATGTCTAAAATTACTATTCTATGCGGACGAAGTCGGTGCCGCAGCTAGTTATCTATATAGGTACAATGGTCCAGAGATAGAATATTATAAAAATTTCAGATCCTTTTTGAGAATTTCGGTAGCAAAGTAAACGTTTGGCTGACATTTAACGAGCCCCTGTCCTTCTGCGAGGATGGATATGGTGGTACCGACGCCCCAGGTACCAAGAGTACTGGCTTTGAAGATTATTTATGTGGGCACAATGTGTTGCTGGCGCACGCGAGAGCCTACAGAATGTATCGAGAAGAATTTGCTGAGAAACAGAGGGGTAAGTACTATTGGTATTTCTATTGTCATTAATTTATAATTCACTTTTTTTATGAAACGAAACCGGTTTGTTTCTTTAATGCCAGGTTATCATCTGAATAATAAAATAATACATTAACTATTTTAAAATGAGTCAAAATGTTATAAATATTTACCATATAACGCGGTACCAACATTCAAAAATTCATTGAATTGTGTAAGGCTTTCACGGCCATCGTTCAGAATTCAGAATTCTTCGAACATCTCCTGATGATGCCGTCCGCTCGTGATGCCGAAACGTCGAGAATCTCTTCTCGCTTACATCGGTCGAACAGCCCGAAAAATGATGATTCAAAAATGTTACTTTAATGATTTTCAGGTTACATTGGTATCACTCTGGACTTCAGGTGGATCGAACCAGCCACAACAGCAGAACAGGACCAGCGCGCAGCGGAAACTATAAGACAGTTTACCGTAAGTATGGTTTACCATTTAGGATCTAGTAGTATATACTTTTTTAATTAGTTGTTAAGTAAATACTGCCTTTCATTGCAGTTCGGCTGGTTCGCGCACCCGATCTTCTCGAAAAGCGGCGACTACCCGCGTATCATGCGCTCGCGCATCGATGCCATTTCGAAACTGCAACATTTCCCGCGTTCACGATTACCATCATTCACGAAAGATGAGGTTTAGTATTGTTTTTTAACTCTACCGTAAAGCTAACCAAGATCTTAAGAATATTTTTCTTATGATAGAGGAAGACAGATAAGTAAGGGTTCACGTGAGGGCAAGTAAAATACCCCAACTATATAACGTCGAAAACAGATACCTTGTCAACGAACGACGACGAAAAAATATGTTGGACCCGGCGGAAGTCGATCCCACTACCCGTTACCAACGAGCGCGTTTGTTCTCTGGATAATAATATAGTCCATTTCAGGTAGAAATGATCAAAGGATCAGCTGACTTTCTGGGTCTCAACCACTATACAACCTCTTTAGCATCCTTCAAGGAGAGCAAAGTAACCCCACAGCCGTCTTTTAGTGAAGACATGGGCGGTGTTCTAAAGCAGAAATCAGACTGGCCTAAATCTAATTCTACCTGGTTACGAGTAACGTATTATTTTTTTTACATTTCAGTTTTGATAAATCCGAAAAAGAAATTCAAGCACATTTTCTTTAGTCTATGGTCGAATCTGTATGATTCCTGTATGATGCCTGAATGTTTTTTTTTTCGTTTTTGAAATTTTTTAATGGTACAAGCGAGGCTCGAACTCACGACCAACAATGTGAACAGTTCATATAAGCTGAAAGCTTCAATGTGTTTTCATTAAGACTTTTTTGTGTATTTATTACACAATTTAATGATAAAAAAAAAATAATAATAATTTTTGTAATAAAAATCATACAATACAGTTTATTTGAAAAAAGGTACCTGTCTCTTTCTGTCTCATAAGTAGTTTGAAGATAATATTTAGTAGATCATCATTTTAAATATTATATCTATATTTTTACTTCCTCTATCACTTTTATAACATATCATCATCAGAACAAAAGAAATCTCTTTTGCATAACAGACCTTAAGTGCATATCTTTATAGGTTGTACCATGGGGTTTTCGAAAAGCCCTAAACTGGGTGAAAGACGCGTATAACAATCCCTTAGTGATCGTTACGGAAAACGGGATTTCTTTAGAAGCGTTGAAGACGCTTGAATTACATCGATGGCTACCTCAAAGCCTTGCAAGTAGCAATAGTGAAGGACAAATGTAACGTCATAGGATACACATACTGGAGCCTTATAGATAATTTTGAATGGACGAGAGGTTTCTCGTAAGTATTTTTCTATGTCATCGAAAAAAATATATATTATATAGAGAATCAAATCTTGTTGCGTTAATTTCATTTGAGGCTACTAGAGCCAAAGTGGCCTAATAAGAAAATACATGTATTTCAATAAGGAGGAAAGTAAAAATGTAAGTTAGACGAAAATTAATTTGTACTATTTTTCGTGTAAGAATAATGTTAACACTTTTCAGTCACTGTGTTCTTGTAGATTAACATTTTTATACAATAAAAATAGAAATAAGTCAAGTCATATTGCAGTTAGGATACTCTGTCTCTGGCGATCTTAGATATAAGAGTATCGATAAAGAGAATTTTTTTGTTAGTTAGTTTGTTTTTTTTGTATGATTTTATCTGAAGCTTAAGACAAGAGAGACAAATTTGTTTTGTTTCAGTGAACGATTCGGTCTATACGAAGTCGACTACAAATCACCAACCAAGATAAGAACGCCCCGTGTGTCAGCAGTCTATTACGGAAGAATAGCAAGCACAAAATGCATACCGACGTTCTGGTACTTCGCGGAATAATGACAGTTCCAACCGGAGGTAGACTTCCCGATGCCGTAGCTTATAAACCGAAATGACAATTTGATCTTCTATAAAAACTGATAGTGTGGTAAAAACTTGTCTTAAGTAGTAGTAAGTTGTAAATATAGATTATAAAAAAATTCCACGCGATTTCGATCGTTTACCGCGCGATATTTAAGGGCTATGTTACATAATAGTTAGGTTATGTCATAGAATAAAACAATTAGCGAACAGTTAAATTTGTTTTTATTTTCATGCATCTCCTCTTACAACTAACGAAACGCGAAAATTAAATACTATTAGATATGCTCATCACAACAAAGGCTCTCCTAAAGCACCCAGATTACCTTTCTAGGTAAGAGATAAATAAATTAAGGCATATTTCACAACATAAAGGATCCACTTGCATCTTAATAAATTATAAAGGAAGAGCTTGTAGTATGAGTTTCATATACCGTTGCCTAGCAACAAAACCAACCGTTGCTTAGCAACCAAACAATTCTTTCGTACTCAATTTACTTAATCATTTTTCTGTTTCACTACTTTATTCTTGTTTCTGCTTTAATTTCTACAAATTTTAACAACAAACGGTTGCTAAAACACCAAACAGATAAATTTAAACAATAAATAAACGCCAAATTGGATATTTTGACTTCTATGAAGTGAAATACAACCTTAAATTCTATAACAATACCCTGTATACAGATATAGTAGTCGCCGTAAGGCACTTAAACATTTTTTTATAGATCCATTTAAAAATACGACATGTAGTTACACTAATATTTTTAACGCCACCTCGTATTCAAAAGAACTAAATTTTTTCTTCATACTATAGAACAATTAATATAATTGTGAGTAAATACATAGTAACAAGAACAATGGCCATACTGTATCAATATGTCATAAGGTACAAGATATAAACATATTAATATTTTATATCGAAATATTTGAGCTATTATTTTGCTATGTACATACTTTTCCTTAAAGGGGTCACTACAGAAAATACTAGCCTGTTAAATTTTACAATTCTCTCAAATATAATACGATAAAATATATTGTTTAATACATATAGAAACAAACATACAGTACATAGCAAAGTTTTCACAACCATTAAACAGAGTGCCCCACTGTTAACTTAGAGTAACTATCAAATTTTGAGCAAGTACATTAAATTTACAAGGCAATGTTTGCTACAAAGAATTTGTATATTTGTGTAATTATTACATTGTTGTCTATTTTGATGTTATTATATATCTAACGAATATTTTTCATACAAAATGTAATCATTATAATTATAATAAACAAAATATTTTCAACTATTAGTAATAAGTAAAAATAAATCTATATGATAATAAGACGTTTATATTGTGGTTGCATAATAAGTATATAATAAGCAAACCAAATGCACACAAATATAAATAGAACACTGTAAAACTGATTAAAACGCAAAATATATAAGTTAACTTATTTCTCCCATGACAAGACTCAATCGTCCATTCGAAACGTCGGGTCGTAGTAAAAAGTATTTATTAAAACTGCTTTATTTAAATGAGTACTACAGAGAATATTTATCAATTCTTGGACATTAAAAATACTTGCTCAAATTTTGACAGAACTCGTAAGTCATAAAGAGCGGATCACACTTTTTAAATATCAATATAGGAGGTTTTCGTATATCAACCTGTATAGCGCAGTGGTTTAAGCTTGGGGCATCTTGCACTGGCTACAGTCCTCCATGCCATCACTGAACTCTTCAATCTGCAGCGTCATCTCGAAGAAATTGTACTTCTCGTGAACTAATCGCGTCGCCTGTTCTAGAATTTTCTGCGGGCTCACTCCGCTGCCTAGAAGAGAAGATTTGTCAAGATTACTGTAGTGTTACTTTGTACTTGAAGCTTTGGGAAACATGAATGAAACAAAGAAAAATATGTATTTTTGGGGTTTTCCTTTTTAATCCTTTTTTTATGTTTTTGCTATTTATTGCTATATATTTTTGTAATGTAAACATTTTTTACTACAAATGTGGCGTTCTATCTACTTCCAAGTACAATTAAAATCTTTGTGGTGTCTCCTACATCTATTTTATCGAATTTGTGTTATTCTTTGTATTTTTGTGTGTGCGATGTTTGATTTTAAATTTAAGTAATACTACATAAAACAACCACAATTCCTGAGAGAGAATCTCAAAAAATTGGTTGTAAGTAGTATTCCTAATGCACTCATGGGGTCATCTTATATGGTCTTAAGCGAGATGCGCTGTTAACGTATTTAAGCCTTGCGTATTCAGATATCTTCAGACTGAAATCGAAACGCGATGGAACTTAATGGCTTTTCAATCTGTGGACGGATGTTCGTGACCTGGACGGATTTTCAATTTTCCTACCACCAATTTATCTACATTCCAGATAAATTATAAATTGGTTAGAAAAACATTGCAACCGGTGGGAGCCATACATAGATACAATCACACCAATGAGCCGTCAAAAAGCTTTAATGGTATAGAATCTGTGGATAGTCATGTTGAAAGATGATATTCCGAACTTGATTTACAAGAATAGCACATCTAGATTAGATTGTTCAGAAGGCCACTAGATGGCGTTATTATACTTACGTATAGCTAAATGCGCCGCAAGCGCAGTTTTGTCTAATGAAAGCGCCCACATCCTCAAGTTATGCACGCGAACCACGCCTGGTAGAGACAGGAATGTGTTGGCGACCTCCTGAAATTGAATATTAAGGGATTAACAATTTATCACTATTATATAATATATATATATATATATCAAAAAAAATTATGACAAAATAACTATTCTACGCGGCACACGATACGTTGGCACAGCTAGTAAAGTTCATAAGTCATATGCCAATAAATTCTTTCAATATGTATATCTATCAATTTTACCTGAAAGTCGACTCCCCTCGGCGATCCTTCCATGAGCACGAGTAGCGCATCCTTGATGATGTTAAAAGTGGTGATGAGGACCAGCACCGAGAACAGGAACGTACAGATCGGGTCCACCAAGTTCCAATCGGGCTAAAAAAAATTGATAATCACACTTATAAAAACTGGATAAAAATATATCATTGAAAGATTATTGCTTGATCTATCTTTTTTCTGCTTAAGAAACGTGCGATAGATAGTTATTTTTAGTAAATAAAATAATATTTATTAATAATTAAGCACGGATGTATTTTCTAGACCCTGAATTACACAATATTATATTTTTTAATTACTTTATACACAAATTATAGAAAGGATAATTTTTAAATTATACTATTGAGTAATTAGCGGGTAGCAACATTTAAAACGACCGAATTTCAAGCATCCGAACGACTGGCCGCAGTTATAAGTAAATTGAAATAGGTTAACCAATATAATTCGCATATTAAAATGTTAAAATGTAAACTAACGTTTCAACTCGATAACGTTAACATCCATATTGTTAAGAAAGATTAAAAACCTTATATATATTAATAAGTTTTTTTAATCTTTCTTCGAATATTGCTTTTTCGTGGTACATATAATACAATCAACTATATAACGTACCTTGAAATAAATGACAATGGCAGCCACCAAGACTCCAAAGCTCTGCAAGAAGTCCCCCACGACGTGAATGAAAGCTGCGCGCACGTTGATGTTTTCCGCGTGCGTTTCGTGCGTATGCGACGAGTTGCTCTCTGCGTCGGACTCGACGCGTTCCTTCTAATATTTTAAATGAAAAAAGTCATTAATTATCTATACTAACATTATAAAGCTAAAGAGTTTATTTGAACGCGCTAATCTTAGAAGCTATTGGTTCGAATTGAAAAATTATTTTTGTGTAAATAAAACACTTGGACAGTTAAAAACGCGAGATATATTAGTTAAACTTATTATAACTACGGTCCGATATCTCCCGGTGATTACGGCTGCAAAGCCTCCGAAACATGAGGTCGTAGTTAAAATTATTTTCAAATAAGTTAAAAAAACGTATTTCGCGTTTTCAATGGCTCAAGTGTGTTTTATTTAAATGTGTACCACTGGCGTAAACTACAGACAGTAACTTTTTATGTTTCTTTTAGTTTCTTAGCAATTCTCGAGGAAGGCCTTAGGGCCTAAAGTTAAGGTTATTAAAAATCACACTGCGTCTAATAGGAGCGAACAAACAGTGGGAAATGTGGAATAAATGGGAAACATTTTTTTATGTACTATCTATTGTGTACCACTTGCATTATATTTAAGTATTATAAAAATCATACCTTATTATTTAAGACGGGATTTCCTCCATCATGAGAGTGACCGTGGCCACCACCACCATGGCTATGACCATGCTGATGAAGGGTCAAACCCATCCTGAAACAACAGAAATTCATTAGATATTGTTTAAAACTGGGAAAAACTTAACTTTTACAATGTACTAACGGTGCATTTATTTATATATTCTTTATTGCACAAATCATAAAATTATTACAAATTAAACTTATATACTAGAATAAATGGGCGGCCTTATCGCTAACAAGCGATCTCTTTCAGGCAACTTAAAGTTATGAAATGTTAAGAAAATGAGATGTGCAAGGTAGGCGAAACAAATTAATACAAACAATAAATAATCATAAACAAAAAAAAATACAGAACTTAAAATAAAAACATACAGATCTAAAAAAGGTTACATGTTTACTAACTTAAACGAAGGGACTAAATCTATTAAATAAGCTAGGACTTAACAGTGACATACAGGAAATGTTTATAAAGGAGCCGTTTAAAGGATGGGAGAGAAGGAGCCGTGCGTATAGAAAAAAGTATGCTATTTTTAAAGAATTACAATATTTTTCTTCTAATTTTATTTATTTAAAATTAATTACTGCCAAAGCATTAACTAAATTGGACTAAGTTGACCGTAGTATAGAATACTTTGTCATTTTATGAAAGACATCGACGGACCCGTTGGTCGAATGGTAGCAAGGCTAATAACGGATCATGGGTCCGACCCCAATGGGTCCAGCATATTACAAAGTTTTCAGTTTATAATTTATCTGAAATATGTTGGACTTCGTGGATAAATGGACATTGAATGGGTGGTAGGAATATCAGAATTAGCTTACGAATCACCGTCCATAGATAAAAAGCCGTGAGGTTTAATCACGTTTCGGTTTCAGCCTATGTTACCAAATAAGGTCGACATATTGTATAGATGTTATATGGCTATTTCACCTTTTATCAAGTGCTTCACCTGCATATGCTTGTCTCCCTCTATCATTTAAAAAAGTGTTTCTTACACAAGATTTACAGCGACACCAACAGCTGAAGTTATTAACATGACTGTTGCATCAATTTCGAACTCCTTATAGATGACTCTCTGCACCGCCATGTACACCAGGATACCTGTGACCACCCAGATGAGCAATACCGAGGTTAGGGCACCGATCACCTCTGCGCGGTACCAACCGAATGGCATTCTGGAACAACAATCACGAAGTATATTAGTTAGTTAAATATTTCGCGTTTTAAACCGTTAAGTGTTTTATGTAAATGTATACTACTCGCATAAACTATAGACAGTATTTAAAGACATATATCATTCATATACTTTTCATTCTTATTGTATTAATTAAATAAAGAAGGGCATATATATAATGGTAAGGCATAATGAAAAATCTCACCGTCTTGTCGCCGGTCTGGTGGCGACCCACAACGAGAAAAGTGATATCATGAAACTAGCGAAGTCTGTGAGCAAATGCGCGGCATCTGTAGCTATCGCCAGACTGTTTGATAAGTAACCACCTGAAAACATTGTATAATTATCAGTACTTATATTTCTATCAGTTATATTGACCATAAAGAAGCCACTTAGAAAAAAGAAGTACTTCCACATTTTGATGATTAGTTATTAGAATGATTTATTTTAGTTATAAAATGAGTCGAAATTTCTTATATACTAATATTTCATAGCTAAATAGTTAAAATAAAACACTTTCTAACGAGTAGGAATTGAACCGGCACGCACAACGTCCGTCCGTGGTGCTGCTCTAACCAAGCGAGCTATCCTTTTAAGCACTTTGGATATAATAGCAGCACGTAACGCTGGGAAATCCTGCCCGTGACGTATTAAAAAAAAATTAAATAGATTTTTATTAAAAAAAAAGATATCATCTGCAATAAAGTGTGAGAAATATTAAAGTTTTTGAGATAGATGGTGGTAAATATCTCAGTGTGTGAAACTAAGAACTTATAAGTTTATAACAGATGAGAACAGACAATAGGCTTAACTTAATAAAAAGAAAAATATCCCAGAAATGTTATAACATGTAAACAAGATGGGCTGTTGGCCTTATTTTCTGATATTCAAAGACTAAACTAGACAAAGACAAGAAGCATCATAGCCACATAGTCTATATCTCTACTGGGAACTACTGGTTCGAATTGAAAAATTATTTTAGTATCGATTAGAACATTCATCGAGAAAGCTGTATAAATCATCGCGCTTTGACTAATGGGAGCGAAGAAACAGCGGGAAATGTAAAAATTAGAAAAACTATTTATAATTGTGGGCTTCTGACGCGTGCGCTTGCAAAAACGGTTCAACCCAAAAAATATGTATAAAAGAATGATTCCTCTTTCAATGATCTGAAAAAATCCGCGAGGCTATATCTACTTTTACGACGTCCTGTGTAACAGCTTAAATTTATAACAAAATGCCTAAAATAACGATTATTTCTAGGCGGGCGAAGCTAGTATTATAAAATAGTGTATGGCACGGTATATGAAGCAAATATCCCTTACCTACAATTTCTCCTATCATAAATATGACACACAGTACACTGGCTATAATGAGTTTTCTTCTCGCACGTTTGTCTATTTCTTCGTTCCTTTTTCTGTGACAGTGTCCTGAAACAAAAAACAAATTGACATTGAAAATTTTCATTTATAAACATAAATGAAAATTTTAGAAGATCAAAAGTGATGGAAACCCGTTGTAGGTTTAAAGAGTAATTTTACATTAACGTCAAAAGTTTCACGCGGTGTCACTGTAATTTCTCGCTTAGTATTGAAGGTTGAGAAGCATTAAATTTGGTTCTAACTTCCGACAAAAATTAAGTCACACACCTGTTAGCTCCAACCGAATGTAATTCTTTAATGATTCGCCAAGCAGTTTCGATAAATTGACGTCAAAAAATTTGTCCCTTACAAATGAAAAAAATATATATTGCAATAGCATAAAAAAACTGAATTCAGAAAAGAAGACTAATCTATCTATCTATCATACGCGCTAATCTCAGAAAGTACTGGTTCGAATTGTAAATTATTTTCGTTTTGGTTGGCGCCTTTATCGAGGAAGGCTATAAAACATCACGCTGTGACTAAGATTTTTTTCTATTTGTGGACGTACTCTCAACTTCCGTGATGCTGCCATTTCTTCCATTCTCATCTCCATCAGGATTTGTCTCGATCACCGCACAGCATCCGGTCGAAGGGTTGCCGTGGACACAGAAAATGACCCGCCTGCCTCGCGCTGGGCTTTCTGTACCGTACGACGCCTTGCCATCTTTGTAACTGGGAATAGAATTAGTATTCAATCTAGATCCTTTAACAAATACTAAAAAATATACATTGTTTTATTGTACTGTGTTATTTGGTAACTTTTTAACAGCGTTGTCAATCAAATTTGCTAATGAAAAAAAATCGAAAACGTCTTTAAAAATAAAACCACGATAAAGGTTTCTGAAGATTAGCCTACATGATATTGCAACGGAATAAATAAATCTATTGTAATTGAATTATATTCAGTCACAATAATAACACTCAACATTGAGTTGGAACTCTATTTTAAGAAACGGACACGAAAAGTTTTGTTTTTTAAAAATCACACAAAAAATGTTATTGTTTGGAAACATATTCCAAGCGGACGAAGTCGCGGACACAGCTAATAAATAAAAGTTTGGGATGACCTGAATTTGGTATCCATTTACCCTTTGTTGTTGAAGTTTAGATTACCTTTTGTTGCTGAAGTCACCGACCAAAGCATATCGTAAAATTTAACTTGGCTTACATTTAACATTTATGTTTTGGATATGAGTATATCATCATGGTTCTTTTTAAAACATCTGTTAAGTTTAAAAAATAGGCCAATCGAAAATTAATCCCTTAATACACGTGAATGGAATATCACCTATCTTATCTATACCTTGCTAACAAACAATAATAACGCTTAATACCATTGTACTACTTGCGCGATTAGATAATTATCTAGTAAAAAAATCTAATTTACAACAGTTTAAAAGTAATTCGTGTTACTTTCGTTAATCTTATCTTAATTGTACTAAAATGTATGTTATTCGTAATATTAACGATTTTTAAACAATAATAGCTCTATATCGCGGTGTCACTGCGCTTCTTTTAAAATGTATGTGCCACTGAGTTAAGTCCAGTATATTTTATGTTATCTTTACTTCATTTTCAATTAAAAATCTTTATGTGATTGAAAAAAAATGACGACGCGGGCGGGATTTGAACCGGCATCTACGACGTGAAAAATTAAGTTAAATTGTCTTTAGTTTACGCGAGTAGTACACATTTAAATAAAACACTTAACGGTTTAAACGCGATATATTTTAGTTAAAAGTCTATGACAATTATAAACTTGTGCCTCCGGTATTATTTATTACGTTGTATCTTCTGTAAAATCTTTGTTTTATAAAATCACCGGGATTTTATTAAATGACGATAATAATTAAACGCATGGTGTATACTCGTAAAATGCATACTATGACGACGTCGCGCCCATTTGATATCGGGATAGCCTAGAACCAAGAGGGAAACATATTAACCTCGCGTAGTAGCACGTGAAGTTAACATGTTCGTTATATTGTCGACCGTTTGTAAAGTCGCTAGATATTTAACAATCTAGTATCACATTACGGTAATATATAGACCGATATCCAATTTGTTATTGGTATGTATGTGTTATCGAGGGCGAAGGTCTATCTAGGCCTAAACCAAGTTTATTGACCTGATTATGTCAAAGATTACAGATTTAAGTGTAGTAATTCTTACATTATTGATTATACTTACTTATTTAGTTATTTAAATGCTTTATTATAACTTATACACTAATTTTACGCGAGCAACACCGTCCGCAGAGGTATTTATGTGGCGACATCTCTTTCTAACGTGAACAAACAGCGGTTCCATTAATTTGATCTAGTCTAGATCAAATCAATTGAACCGCATGCTCGCACCCCTTTTGGTCTAGATTATTGACCAAAGGGGCCCCGAGTTGGACATCGTCGTAAGTTTGGACCACCGCAATGTGGTACGCGAAGAGTTGGACGAATGCTTATTTGTGTTTTTATTATTTATCAATCCTATTAAAATTGGTTAAGCCATTTGAAGGCTAATTCAAAAGAACATATATGTATATAACGCGGAATTTTTTATTTCTGGCTTCGATAGCATAGCAACCAAGAATCACCCGTCTACTTATTTGATAGATCAGTCAATAAAATGGTATCCATAAAAGAGAAATACTTGCATCTCTTTTGAGTGAGGAACTAACGCAGTCTAAACTATCGTAGTGGTGTCAAGTTTTACGTTTTGGAAATTGTACCCCAAAAGCGAAACACCATGTGGGTAGAGAAACTGGGGATTGTGGTACATAATCTACTTCTAAAAACACGGTCTACGCTACGCTCGTGTAATGAAGTGTTTCTGATTCAGCGGAGACACTTACAGCAACAACGGTTTCTGGTCTTCGGTCATATTCCCCAATCACTCAAAGCACATGACACGAACAATTCACCAGTTCAGAGCGATTTGTCACGCATACTAATACGTTATCTGTGGCAGGAGGGGGGCGCTCCTTAACTTTACATTAAATATAGATAACGCGATGCAAATAGTACTTTGATAAGGGCCAACGAATATTAGTAGTATTCCTACAAACGAGCGCTAGAACGCTAAAGAAGGCTGAAATGCTAAATGAAACATTGCTAACGGGTTAAAACGCAAAATGATTATTCAACATTAGTGAAATTATTGTCTAACCTCACCCCAGTCATGTAAAACAAAATATTATATTTCTCGTTACAAACCGTTAAATTGTTTGATTAAATGTGTACTGCTCGCGTTAACTATTAAAGTGTTTAATCGATATCTAATAATAAAAAATACCATGATTTATCATTTTTTATAATTATACCAAGTTACTTATAAAATTATAAGAATTTAAAAACTATCTTAGCCTATATAATAATCTAAGAATACCTATTGCTTTCTCTACACAGTACGTACAAATAAATAATTTAACACCCACTGGAGTGGTGTACAAAACGAAAAAAAACTAATTTGAAAGCATATTTACTTTAGTATAAATGTACACCTTATAAACATGAGACGTAAAGTATTTTGGTTTTCGTAGATAACGGTAGTGTATATTCGACCTAAGTTAATAGAACTGTAATTTATTATTCGGCACAGAACTGTTATGATTTTTAAATGAATTCATGTAACCTTGTTGTTTTGTGATACGGGTAGGTGAAATACATATTTAGATATAATGCGTTTAACAGGTTATTTGGAAGATAAAACAAAATTAAAAAAGAACTAAGTCAATTAGTTACCACATGTCTATATAAGTGTTTTAGCTTATATCAGAAAAAAACTTTTCTTAGTAGTTTATTCACAACTAACGGCCTACTAAATATACTAAACAATGAACCACTCTATCTATTAAAACCGCATCAAAATTCGTTACGCAGTTGTAAAGATTTGAGCGTACATAGGGACAGAAAAAGATGATGATTTACACTATGTAATGATGTATGTTTAATTCAAAGTTGGTAATAATGCACCTAAGTAAGTTCATGGTTGTATAAAAATAATCAGATAAGGTGACTTTTAATTTGGAGGGGACGGAAATGCGATTTAAGTACGGGATGTTATAAGACGTTATCATTAAAAATATAGCTAAATAAACTAACGATAAAGCGAAAATTCTAAGTTCTAATTTTTCGGTCGGAAAGGTAATTTTCGATGTAATATAAAGAAATTCATTCTAATCAATAGGTAGTAAACTCAAAGCATTTTTTAACATTTATTTTTATTATTAAAATGAAATAAATGGTCGACGGTGCAACAGTTTTTATAACATATTTGCTCGTAAAGTGGTTGTAATTACACCAATTTCAATATCGCAATGTATTTCATTACGTACTTGTGCGATGTAATGTAGAAAGCACGTTTTTTTTTTTTTAAATAAAGTTTTAAGATACTCCGTCTAAAAATGAACGATACTTTTAAAAATCTTAGAAAAGAGGTTTTATGTCAAGAAAGTGGTCAATATTTTATGAATAAAATTAACTTTGGGAAATAAAATATAACAAATAAATATTTAATTCTTTAATTTAATTATTTTTACAATAAATTACAACCATTTATCTGTAACAAAAACACAAAAATATTAATTTACTTTAATTAGTAATACTGGCTGTTTTTGTAACTTTTTTTTTGCCTAAAAAAAACCGCGCGCTTTTTCTTTTCTCTGTATTGTTTGTATTCGAAAATGTCGTCTTGTTCATTTAACTAAGTTAGAGTTTTATTAATTTCCTCGTAAATATGTTATAAAACGTCGTATGACATACGTGCGCTTTGAAAATTACAGCCTCTGCTTTCTTATAGTAATATCGCCTCGGCTGTAATTTTTAACTTACCGCACTTATATCATATCATAATGTACTATTACAAAAGGAATTGTATTATTGTCATTGGTTAAACGTTAAAACAAGTGCCGAGTTAAATAACTGTACTAATTGACATAATAACAAGTCAAACTGCGATTGTTCATGTACAAAAAAAGTAAGGCACCAGTACAACTAACAGAACATGAGAATTAACAGTTACTCCTTATAAGAGATCAATTGTTATCGAATGACAATTGACAATATGTTACAGATGCTGGTGTGATGTGCGGCATTTTTCTTAAGTAACGTGTTTTAATAGCAATCAGTTACAAGGGTACCGGTTTCCCGGAGAAATAATAGATGTTATGTTCATTCAAGTTCATTCGGTTTAAAACACGAAAGGTTTTAGATAGACATATTCACGAATTATTTGAACTAGAAACGTAGGGCCGTTGTTAAAATTTATTTGTAAATAAATTAAACTAACACATACACTACACTACATTTAAAACGCAAATTAAACCGTTAAATTTAAATGATTATTTAAAGTTTCATCAGCCAGCTCGGTCGAGGATTTGTTTGGATTTGAATCTAAGACTGTATCCGCCCCAATTTTCTAAGTAGCCTATATAACTCTAACGGTTACCTGTGGCCTCTATAAAATATTATTGGCATGCTCAATTGAATCTCAAAAACCAAAAACACGTATATTTTAAGCCACAATTTGACAATAGATTAATAAAATACTCCGCTTGTAAATTTTGCATTTCTTTGTAGATATATCAAGAACAAGAAATATTCAAAGTATATAATAAAATTATTAATAAGAAACACTATAAGTGAGTGAGGTTCCCTTATACGCCCTGTCCTTGTACGAATGTCAACGAGCGTCTATATGATATATATTTTTGTACACAACCATGAATCGAAGTCGCGATCTCACGATAAGCCTGTAGATACTATAAAACTAACACGTCTATGGTTAGTGTAAATAAGCCTATATGGCAGTCGTCGAGCTGATAAATGTATTTATTTAATACAACCGACGCGACACAACTTCCTTATAAGAATTATTATTCAAGAGGTGACAAAATTACGTTATATCCTTTTTATGTCTATGACAGCAGTTTCAAATTAATTATGATACGCCGAGCTTGATATATTTCTTAGCCGGATCCTTAGCATTCATTGATTTCAGCTAATACTATGGACCAAACCCTATAAATATAGGTAATAATAATTCAATAACAATTACGACTTCATGTGTATTCTAATATTTGTAATATCAACATACTGTCTATAGTTTACGCGAGTACTACACATTTAAATAAAACACTTTAACGGTTTAAAACGCGATATATTAGTAAAACTTATTTGAAAATGATTTTTAACTTCGGCCCGACGTATTTCCAAATGAGTTTAACTAATATATCGCGTTTTAAACCGTTAAAGTGTTTTATTTTAATATCAACATGCCGATAATCAACGGGTCGTAGCTACGATCCTGGAAGTGCAACATGTTTCAAAAATTACAATTTATGTTTTCATATGCATTATTAGACTTCGTCTCGAAAATTTGGCTGATAAGTGGAATATAATAATAAATAAATAAAATATACTTTTCTCCTTAACTGTCTAATATTATTTAGATTCATAAAAAAATGTTTGTTTGTCTGTCGGCATTCTACAGTGTATGATATGAGCCGTCAGTGTAAACACGCGTTTTGGATTCAGCCCGATCTTTTTCCTATGTACAGTATCAAAATATAATAATAAGATGTAAATATATACAAATTTTCATCAAGTAAACGTATGTTTGTCTATCTCCTCTGTCATAAAAAGGAACACATTTATATGGTACTTACTACAAAAGTGTTTTATTACATAGCAACCCCATTTGTATGGAATTGGCAAAGTATTCACTTAAGTACCTACTTGCGTGACATAAACATACTTCGACACGACGCGTTGTCTTAGGAAGAAAAACCGCAGTTTCGAATGCTACCTACGTTACAAAACAATGTTCTTCTTATTGATAAATCACTTGAAAAAAAAAGTAGGAATTATCCTGTGAACAATCCGTGTTGGTAAGTGGATCAACAAGCAACCGAACAACTTGTTACTGTAAAACTGTGTATTTCGTCAAATTTTGAATTAACTAGTGTCTTCGCGGGCAAATCGCGTTTCGTCGCGCATCTTTGTCTTAATAGGAATTCGATTGATTACGTAACTTTTATGTACATCAATAAACAAATTAAAAATAATATTTAAAAGTCTTAATAACAAATATATGTAAATAATTATTAAAAGTCTTGTAGTAAGAGAAAAAAAGTATTTCAATTCATTCACAAATATACAAATACTTCAATTCCACAAAATTAACCTTTTTCCCTTATTAAAATAAGTTAAAGTTTCGAATTGAAAAAATATTTTTGTATTGGTTGGACTATTTATCGAAGAAGGCTTTAGGCTACAAAATGGCATGTGAAAAACTGAGGGAATTGCGAAGGGAGAAATTATTCATCTTCCGTTTCGTGCGCTTCGAAAACAATTTAAGATATCCAAATTGTGTAATGTAATGCAGTAGAAAATGTTTAGAAAATTTAATAATTTTCCAACAAGTTTTTTTACTAACAGTAACTTGTACCTCTAATTTGCTAGATAAACAGCCATGACTGCCGTACCTAATCACATAATAACCGCCATTTTGACAAGTAGAAAATACAGATCGTTTCGTGTCGCAAATAACATACGTTTTTTTTTCCCTAGATTTCCGCAAAACGTTTAACTTTTAAAGATATTTATTTTCAGTGGCCTATTACAATACTAGTTAAGCTATTTAACAAGAGATGGCGCTATAACACAATTTAATATGAACGTTAGTGAAGCCTTAAATAAGAAGCATTAGAATCGAAATCTTTAAATTAGAATAACAAATCTATTATGAATTTTAAACTATAAAATTGTTTGAACATTCAGGAGGATTGATACTAATAGTCAATTTTAAGGATTATACCTACCTAGTTAAAAATAATTTTACAAAACATAATTACACAAGTTGGTTATTACATTGAACAATCTAAAAAGTAAATTAAAATGTCTATTGTATCCATTATCGACATTGAGACTAAATGTTTAAATGCCATTGAGATTCTCCAAATTAATTATAAAGTAAGAAATTTAAGTATTTTCACAGATAATTTTAAAATCATCAAAATGAGTGAATGTTATTATTTGTAGCACTGTTTATTCTGAATAGTATAAAAATGCTTATATTAATAAAAATTAAATAATTTGTTTTAGTCTATTAATAAATTAATTTTGCTTTGAAACCCTTCAAATATCACTTAATAATTTTAAAAGTGTAGGTAGGTTACACTTTTATAGAAACAACTAAACATTCGAAATACATTATTATATAAATAATTAACTGCAATATGTGAAATGTCACCAGTATAAACTTAATATTTTTTTTACAAATAATATTGTACTTTTTTTACATGTATCACATGTTGCTTTTATTTTAATAGAAACATATTTCATGTCCATTCATTTAATGATAAACTAATTAAAAACTTTGATTCAGGATTTAAAAATTTAACCGAAAGATGTGCGAGTATAATATAATTAATTATAAATATTCAAATGTTACAAGGAAGGAACAGTACAATAAATATTCCGTGCCGTTGTTTATCTGACTCGAATTTATAAAGGTCAAAGTTGAATGCACCGTATATAAAATGCTCACCCGTTAATCGCCTGTGTCCCTTGCTCCATAATTTTGTTTTTAACCAAACAGCCGGGCGTTTCGGACTTATCCGTCAGGTATTCTACGTCCATATCTTCCAAAATCGCCGCACGATCAGCGTTCAACTCATTCAACTTATCACTAGAGAGACTCTTCGACCTATACCTGCCATTTAGGGATGCTGGACTTTTATCTACGAATGCACCACTCACACTATTCAACTTCGTATCATTTTGTTGATAATTGTTATCACAAACTTTACTTTTAATGGATGACATCTCGCGCCAAACAAACAACGCGCTGTCAGAATTGTCAATCACGAATGTCGGTGCGCGGCGAATGACTAGTGACGTTCTCAAATAGACGCGCGTTTTGCCAATAACCGAACAATGCAGAGTTACTCGACCAAAATGAGAAAATCGTTGTTATTGTCTCGGGTTGAGGTCTTTTCATCGTTTCCTGTGAACTAATAATAATATTCGCAGCTAGCGAGCGCTAAAAAAAGTTTCAATGCCAAGTTATAGGCGGAGTTAGATCTACGGTCGCTTTTTCTAGCTAATTACGTTATTATTATTGCTTATTCTAGGGCTAAAACCATAACTACCTAACATAATGAGGTCAATAATACTCTACAGATATTGAACGTTGTATTGGACATAGATAAAATATTTTACGTATATAATTGGCGGGACTCGAACTGAAAACACTCAATGAGTTTGTAAAAGGACTGCAATGATTTTAAACCCCAGCTATATGTTAAAAAAAAATTAATGAGTTTTTGTAACTATAAAAATAATATATTGTATAAAGACATAACTTAATAGTGCCGATATTCAGAATATAATATAACTTCTTACGAAACGGACTTGAAAAATTTTACAAAATAACGAATCAACCTGTATAATGCGCATTTTAATTTAGAGCGGAAATAATACAATATTGAAAACAATACAGTTGAATTTAACATTAGATACTTTTTGGGTAGACAGGAACTTTTTTATAAATGTTAATAAACATTTGAATGATGTGTTTTTATTTTTATTTGTAACAGATATGTGACTATTTATTTGAAGTTGGGATAACTATTTTACTAATGAGTGTCGCACAAGAAAAGTCAAGAGTTTTTCTATATATATATTTTACAAACGTGTTATGAGATGACGACACTAAGATTTTCATTCTTAATAATCTTGATATTTGTCACAAATTATCAAAACAAAAAGTAAACAGTGTTGCTAGATTTTCAGAAAGGAGCAAATAGCATAAAACAAAATAAACATGGTGACATCATTTTCCAAGTGTTTTCGTGTTTCTCTGTAATACGCGAACAATATAGGTACAGGAAGAGACTAGATTGTGTAGACTGTTTCAAATTTGTCAGACATTGCGCAATAATGAAATTATATGTAATTGTCTGTCGTAAAAATATTATGTGAGGCAAAGTGAGTTAAATGAAAGAATGGTCTGCGGTTCTAACGTAGTACACCTCGATCTAGCCTTATGTTGGTCTAGACGTCTATGCATCCTACTGATAAGGTCGAGAGTCGATTCCCGGTTGTTAAATGTGAACGTAAAGTATCTAGGTTATACAAATAGATTTTAACGGAGTCGTCGGTGTAATGGTAGCAAAATATGGCTAATAATAAACAGGTCGTGAGTTCGATGCCCACCGGATCCAACATGTTTCTAATCGATTTATAATTTTCAAACATGTTGGACTTCATCTGGAAATCTGCATATTAAATGGGTGGTAGGAATATCGATATTCCGTCCGGGTCACGAACCACCGTCCACAGATGTAGAAGCCGTGAAGTCTATTCACGTTTCGGTTCCAGTCTGTGGATTTCCGAATATCCAAAGCCAAATAGGTTGGCATCGCACCTTGTTTAGATGCTATAGGCTGGGTTATTTTACCAACCATCAAGTGAATCGCAAGTTTCTCTGTCCTCCTATATTATTAAAAAAAAGACTAATTTCATAAGTTTGTCTGAAATTACAAAATAGTACAATCTTCGATATAGTATTCATGTTTACGTATAAGGTAAGTACTATGCGTAGTCGCGTCTTTAGTGCACTAAGTTCAGTACTTACTATAGATAGAATGTAGTTCACGAATTTATTCTAAGCACGTATTATTGAGGCCAAGTATTTAACCTCGAATTATTTTCCAGTGTCCAGCACTTGAACTGGAATTCCAATGATAGAAACTTTACGTTTATTTCATTCATTGTATACTATTTTAGTCCATTAACAAAATTTAGGAAAATGTATTATAACGAACTATTAGTACTGTTTGGAGTTAACGCAAGTAGTGTTACATTTAGATAAAATACTTTATGGGCTTAAATCGCGATGTATATTAGTAACACTTATTTGGAAATCATTTTAACTACGGTACGATGTCTCGGATGATTTGCAGCAGCCGCCGATATACATCACGTTTTAATCCGTTAAAGTGTTTTATTTAAACTATTAGTTATTTTGCTAAACTAGTAGCGTAGATTTAACATCGATCAAAGTGAAATAAACTATATATGTGTCGCGTTTGGACGCCTTAGATCCACGTAGGGTCCTTCTGAAGTTCAGTGATCATCACCTTCTGACATTGCTTAGCTCAAGGCGAGGTATTTTTTGCCATAGAAAATCTAAAAAATCATTGTCATGTTTTGTACTAATTGGCCAATTCACTGCTAAATCAGTAAACCTTTGTTTTCTTATATCTTTTTATGTCCTTTGCGCCCGTCTTTTACAGCGAACCGTGTTATAGATGGACTACGACTGCTGCGAAGCATCGGAAACGTCAGGCCGTAGTTAAAATAAACAAACAATAAGTTAACTATTATTAATATTGAACGACTTGAAACTGTTGTGAAATGTAAAGTCTCGTGTCCTTCCTTTTAATCTCAACGGCTGCCGTTGCTGTCCTAACCAGTGAAAACATTTTATAATGTCCCCGCAGTGCCACGCGTTTATTTCTATTGCGACGGAAACAGTCAGTTACAAGAAGGAAAATACTACATTATTACGTTATCAACACAGGTAGGTAGTGTAAGTCCACCATTCCGAAGTGAAGCGGGCGGTGGGTTTTAAACCCTCTATGTCTGAGAGCGTAAACCTGGTTCTTAACATAACCTGGGTTGTCAGAATATAAATGACTAGCTGTGTCGGCGACTTCGTCCGCATATTTTGGGCATCAAATTTGTCTTTGCAAACCTCGTGTTTAACTCACTCGTGTTTAAAAAAGTAGTGTTGTTTCCCACCATGTCCTCCGCGTCCCGTCGTTCTTGCAAGTAAATCTTAAAAAATAGACTGCCACGGACAATTTTTTATTAATCAGTCAATTATTTTTCAGACCATAAATCCATTTTTTTAAATTAATTAATTCTAATGTGTGTTAGTTGGGTAAGTAACAATTTTTAACTTAAAATGTATATTAGAATGTGTTAGTCACTAAAATTAAGTAGACAGAATGAATTATACAAAGTAGGTGCTAGGCGCTAAGGGGGAGCATGGATATACACATAAACATGCTATGTTTGCCTAGTTACCATGCAATTGTGCGAAAATCGTATTTGTTGAACATAAGCTTGAAACTTGCGTTGCAAATTTATTGATCGCGCGTGTCAAATTATAACGAATTAGTTGTACCACTCCATTTCTCGTGGTAATAATCTTCCACTTGCTATTATATTAAAACGCCAAATGACACGCTTGGGTAAGCCAAGAAATTCTGATTTCGATGTAATGATAAATCGGTACTACAGTTCTGTTTCAAGAAATATATCATTCTTTTGTTTACGCTGAATATTCTTAACCTTAGCTCATATTAAGTCTGCCCGTGACCACGGCTGCTGCAAAGCATCAGTAACGTCGGGCCAAAGTTAAAAATCAATTTCAAATAAGTTTAACTAATATATCGCGTTTTAAACCGTTGAAGTGTTTTATTTAAATGTGTACTACTCGCGTAAACTATAGACAGTATTTTATTTAAAGATTCCTAGTCAATCCTGTTAATTAAAGCTTGTGAGTATAAGAGTGTACCTACTAGCACAAACGCTTTGATAAACTCCAATAGTTATAAGATAAATGAGTACTAAAAGATTTTCTTCATTTTCAAACAATACTTTAAAATAAAATTATGAATTGAAAAAATCTTTTAATCATAATCTGTGAAAACAATGAGATAAGCATTTTACTCCGTGACTAGAAAGAGAATAGCTAAGATTTGAACATCAAACGGAAACGATTGAGATAAACTTAATACTTTTATGTTTATTCTATTAATGTATACCTATTTATTCAGTTTAATTCAAAATTATCATATCAAATTACGCGACTACGTGAATCTAATCAGGAACTAAATGATCATGACCTTGAATGTCTTTAACGATATGATTAAGTACTGTCTGCAATTTAAGAAAGTAGTTCAATTTAAATAAAACACTTTAAACGGTTTAAAACGAGAAATCACGCCGTAGTTGATATTTTAATTATATTTTCCAAAGTTGCCTATTCTCTAAATATTAATTACGCCGAAACAGATGGCGCTAGCGTATCAAATTTGACTTAGAGATTCCACCCTGGATCTAAATATGGATATCACCCCATAACAATGCTCGCTTCAAAGCAGCTGAAACGTCGGGCGGTAGTTTGAAATTAATTAAAAATAAAACTAATACATTTCGCGTTTTAAACCGATAAAAGTATTAAAACGATTTACTCTTCTGAAACAAGTTGATTTCCTCTCTCTTAACAATTGCAAAACAGCTAATTTTATCTACTATGAATTATGTTGACTTTTATTAGAAGTTCGTTTTAGAACTGGCAGTTAAACCATAGATGAAAATCTCAAGTAGTTTAATTATAGAACATTATAGAAGATTTAATTGCTTTAAACAATTCAAATTTCGGAAGTTTTGTAAACTGTGTTGTTCTCAATTGCTTGCAAATCGCAATTGAGAACAACACGACACACAACAAGGGACCTCATTGTAAGCTTGTGCGGACGAAAGGCGCTCTTTTTGTATATATCTATACTAATATATAAAGCTGAAGAGTTTGTTTGTTTGTTTGAACGCGCTAATCTCAGGAACTACGGGTTTGAATTGAAAAATGCTTTTGTTGTTTAGAGCATTTATTGAGGAAGGCTATATAAAAACATCACGCTGTGACCTATAGAAGCGAAGATACAGGTGAAAAGTGAAGAAAAGGGGGGAAATTTTTCATCTCTTTGGGTTTCAGTAGTAGTTCAGTAGTTGTCAGTATGCTGCGAAAATGGTTCTAGATATCTAAATAATGTGTATGAAAGAATGATTCCTCTTTAAATAATGTAAGAAAAGTCCGCGACGCTATATGTCTTATCTTTTAAGATTAACTTGCAAGAACGACGGGAAGGGGCGCGATCGACGTCATGGCTAACAGCTTAAGTTTATAAAGATGACGGGGTTTGCAAAACCTAATTTGGCCAAAAAAATGCCCAAAATAACGATTCTCGCGGACGAAGTCGCTGGCACAGCTAGTGTTATATAAGAGTACTTAGTTTTACTACGAAGGTGCTAGCCACTGTACATCCTTTTCTAATTATAGATTCTCTGTTAGCGCAAATTTATAACAAATTACATATACCTATGTAACATTATTTACAAAAAAGGTCTAGTTAATAAATATGTATTAACTTCTAAATTTCTCTAGCTTCTAAGTTTCTTTATGCATTACTTTAGACTCCATGTATCTTAACTTATATTACGAAAGGACTTTAAAACAGTTATAGTACGGTGGCGACGCAAGGATCTTAAAAAAAGAATATGCCCCGCTATCTACAGGCGCAAAAGTTTGTTTCTTATTATAAATACTACTGAGCATGTTTCAGATAGTCTTATCACAGGGTTATTTATAAGGTTGCAACGGTATCATTTTTCAGTACATATATTTAGGACACGAAATTTTATGAAACTGGTGGGAATGTTTACCGATAACATTAATATAAAGTTTACATAATATATCAATCAAGATATCCTCGACGGAACTGGGTTCCGAGAACGTAATCCTTTAACATATCAACTGCTTTGGGAAATAAGACCGACCATTATGTGTTGCAAATGCTGTGGCACAGCTTAAGACTACTTAGATCCAGATTTATCTTTACTAGTATAGTAGTAAATGCGAAAGTAACTCTGTCTGTCTGTCTGTTACGCCAAAACTACTGAACGGATTTCAATGAAATTTGGTACACAAATGGTCTAGACCCTAGAAAGAAAAAAAGGGGAGACAGAACATAGGCTATACTTTTTATTGCGAAAAGGGGGTTTTAAGGGGTTGAGGGGGAGGGGGGGGGGGGCATTGGGTAAAAGTTTGTATGGAAATTCGCTGTTTTTGAAGCTAGAACAATAAAACTTTTTTCTTTGGCTTTTTGGGAGTGGGAGTGGGAGTGGGGTGGGCGTGGGAGTGGGCGTGGGCGTGGGAGTGAGAGTAAGAGTGATGTGAGGTGAGATAGTTGCGGCAAAGTAGCACTTACAACATGCTTACAGATCGGCTTAATTTATCGAAATGCGCAATTACATAAATTAATAAACAGCCGAAATAATTAAAAATTCTACCCCAAGTCACTGTTCCAAGCGAACGAAGTCGCGGGCACAGCTAGTATAAGTATAAAATAAAGTTATAAATTATTGTACTATAACATTTGTTTTGAAACATATTTCATTCGTTCTCTGCGATTGTTCTGAAGCTTTCCTTTATCGATAGTACAATCAAACTGGCTGCCACTTAAGCAATATTCGCCTTTTTTACTAGCATTACTTGTATATTTCTCAAATTTACTACACACACAACTCTGTGCCTAAATTACATAAAAAAATAGCGTTAAACCTTTACCAGAGAAAGAGCGATAGTTATCGATGTTGTAAAACGCATTCTAACAAACAATTTTTTGCATGCACGTTATTACTTGCCTTATACATAAATTCAATGTTTGAATCAGAAGAGCAAGACTACGGATGTGATCGTGGGCTCTAGTCCGTACGGGTCATCGAATTTTCAGGTCTTTGTATAAGTACAGCGCTTACCTAATTTCCTCTACAGCGGCTTTAGGGTTCGTATAACGTCTAATTTGAAACTTGAGTTTAGCCATAACTACACCATTATTTGGATTCGACGTGTGTAAAATTATGTCGACTACTGAACTGTTTACCTAGAAGCAAGTGCCTCGTACACATAACAATGGTTTCACGGAAAATTAAAGCCGAAGTTTTACACAATACGGTGTCAAATGTTTAAAACAATGCGTTACATTAATTTCTTTGAGAGTTGGTTTCACATATAAACGGCCCAACTTTTGTTGATAAAATATTGTGTGATTTCTAAAAAACTGGAACAACAGCTATCATATATTTAAGTACGATTACTTGTTATAGTTTGTGTTTAACTTAAAGAAAAAGTATGTACAAATATTGCATATTTTGTTTTACGTACAAATACAATTTTAATTGGTTTTAATTAGTTTTTATACTCAAAATGCCATTTTTTACCGTACAACTAAGTACCTCTTATATATCATAGCAGTTTATCTGTTTTGGGGGTAAAGTGGCGCAAATTGTACCTTCGGTACTATTAAGACACCTAGTCGCCTATAAAACAAATGTTAGAAAACATGGTATTAGAAATAATAATAATGCCAACTTAGAGATTTCATAATCAATTAAAAAAAATAGTCTGAAATCCATTCTTTATGTAAAATATAGAAACTAAAAATACTTATTTACTTATTACAGGACGTAAAAAAACTAATTAAAGAATCTTGGTAAAAAAAGTAATGCTTAATTAGAACATTATTGAGACTATATATATGTCTAATCTTTGTACTTATACTTACGTATACTTTTATTTATTTTTTAAATAAAGAAAAGCTATCGAAATATTATATTGCAATAAAAAGTTTACAAAGGAACAAAGGCAGAACGAAGTATCGTCCGTATTGTTTTTCGAAAATGTAAATTAAGTTTGAAATCCCTTTTTAAAAAATTACGATTTACAAAGGCAGCCAGCGGTCTCTTAACGTTAACGTACTCGTCCAAAAAGTTAATGATAACGACACTAGATGTCGATATTTATAATTATGATACGAGGTATTGCCAGGGTACCTACGACTTAGGCTGTGATACAACTAGAGAAACCTTATTCTACATTTAAAAAATACCTCAAGTCAAATTCGTCTTCTTTATAGAATATAAATTAATTGAAGGCTATAGATAGAAAAAGTTACCTTAAAAACATCGGAAATGGTTCAACGAAATGTAATTATTACGAAGATAAGGAAGAGGAAAATCATTTAATTCGCTCCGATGATCCAAATACAAATGATAAGTAAAAAATGCATTTTGTTTTAAGGTTTTAAAATGTGAACTATTATTTATTTACAAATATAAACTGTTATGACAGACGGAATCCAATGCAACTAAAATATATCGCCTTTTAAACCGTTAAAGTGTTTTATTTTAATGTGTACTACTCGCGTAAACTACAGACAATAACTTTTTAGTCTTATTTATAATACTTATTGGTTTTTTTATGTAATGTAGATTTTAGTAGTTAAGGTTATAAGTCACAATCATTCAAAGAACAAGAATAGTATTTTAAACAATTACTATATACGCATATAATATTATATACTACATTTCATAACACAAAATAACTTGTCCCCACTGTTGCCCCCAATGATTTTTTGTACTTCGAGTACACAAAATCATTGACATAAAAATTAATTTTATTTATTTCTTATTAAAGTCGATAACCCAAGCATCTTTCATAATGGCAACTTAATTTATGCTTATTTTATTTAAGGAATGCTAAGAAAATTCGATTAATTCGAATTTAATAACAACTCATGGCAAAGTACTATTCGTTCGTCCCATTTTCTCAAAGGAAAAAATAAATATCAACGATCAATATTATTTATATAAAAACATTGTGTTGTTGTCTGGATATAAAAATGAAATCCTATTTCCTTATCCCGTGTGGGGCATGGGGCGAAAACATTTCTGTATATCTTGATTGTTAATAACATAAATTAGTGATTATTTACAATCAAGTAGTTGATCAGATTGCTGTGCTTTGACCGACAGAAACAATTTATTTAGTATAGATTTGAACCCAGGACTTCTCGCGCTTAAAGTAAAGCTAGGCAACACGCTTACACATTTTATTACGAAGGTAGTAATAAGTTGTAAGTAAATAATAAATAAAAAAACTTACGCCTGATAAAATGTAACATCAAAATTTGCTAAAGGAGATTTGGATTTATTTTTCTTTCAAGTAAATAAAAGTAAATGTCCACAGCGATTATCAGTACGGAGCAAATAGCTTCCTCGAAATATTGATTTACTTAACCTTATTACCCAATCAACCTTCTAAACTTTTTAAAGGCCAAACGACACTCTGCATATAAGGGGCCTATCTTCAAATCATCGATAACGCTACGAGAATAATTCATTAGAGGAAAACTCGTGATATATTGCATCATATCACTTGTCAATGAAATTATCTAGGCTAGTGGACGATAGATAATACGAGTATATCGTATGGTTAGAATTGAAAACTACAGTGTAGCCTTTGTGTGTTTGTAAATTTCATCCGGATCACGAATCACCATTCTTTAGGGTTTCAGTCCAAAAAAAGAAAAAACCGCGTATCTTGTCGTTGAGGCTGGGGTATGACTGGGTTATATTATTTTCCATCGCTCTCTCAAACAAGCCAGAGAGCACTCAAAATCAGTAATTAATACTTATAGAAAACACTATGTTGATTTGCTATTTTAAGATTCATAATAATAACAGATGCTATCACTGTCAAAGTTTAATTTATTGGATATATCAAATTTCACTTTCGTATATAAGACCGCAATAAACGAAAACCTACATAAAACAGACTTGTATAAACAGTTAGCCGTATTCCCTTCACAATATTTATTCCTGCTATCCACTTGGAAAGTCCGTTTTCAGCCAATAACGTCGGCCACTCAGCTGCGGATAAGTCCTCATACGTCTGGGCTTGTGGACGAAGACAATTCAGCAAATGCAGGTAGGCGGTGTGTCCAGCTTCTAAAGCCGCAGCTACATCACCATCAGCGAAGACATCCAACGCACCCCATTCCAGAAGTGTAGAATTAATGGTTCTTGTTAATCTTCTCAGCGCAATATAATCACCGCAACGCGGGACAAACACATCTTCAATATCAGTTTCCTTATAGCTGACCAAATTATTTGCTTCCTCTCCAAATAAACGAATCAATTGTTCTATCACTGCTTCTTTCCTATTCGTCAAATTATCCTTAACCTTCAAGTACCCCACGAGAGCGGCATATTTTTCCTGGCTGCCGGTTGTCGACATTTTTGGTCGTTCTGTCGCCCAGATTATCGGTCCTCGAAGGCTGAGGATGTCTCCGCTGTAGCCGTATTGTCTCCAAAAATGATCTTCGTATTGGATCACAAATTTCTTCGCTTTTCCAGGACACATTTTGGACGTCATCTCAAAATCCCGCTTGGACAGTAGATCAGGACCCATCTGTATGTTTTTAAGTTGATCAGGTCTTAACGCCATTGCGAGGGAACTACAAATGTAGCTCGTTTCCCCTTTGATTCCATTAAGAATGACCTTTTCATCAGAGTATGAACGGATTTCCTTTATCGTTTTCGCGGGGTACGTGATATTTGCTACGCTCTGCTGAAGTTTCGTCGTCAGTCGTTTTCTACAAAAGCCAAGTAACTTTTCACGAAACCTGGTATTATCTCCATCTAAATGATTCCTCGAACTACTGCTCCTATAACATTGGTGTAAGTAGAATAATACGGACACTACATTCGCGTTTTCACCGCATACTAGTCTAACAGTAAGACGCATTATATCTCTTGATGCGCCAAAGATTAACGCAGCGCATAAATCTTCCTCCATGGTCGTCTGATCGTAGTACAATAAGCATATTCTCTCGGAGTCGTCGTCAACTTTATTCGTTTGGAAAAGGCTTTTCATGTTCTGGTCTAGAAAGTTTTGATATTGATTTAGTTCAAACTTCTCTAGGAAATTCAGATAGTCGAAATCATAGAAGTTGTTGGCACATTCTACGATGCTACCGTTGCTGCATTCGAAAAGTTTAGTGAGATGTGTCTCCATGTAGTTTGGAGATACGATTGCGTCTGGAAGAGGAATGTTGAATTCTTTAGAGTAAAGAGCTAAGTAATATCTAGCGACATTTTCCAGCTTCTGCTTTGCTGTTTGGTCGCATATGTACTCCGTTTTCTCCTCATCAGTGTCCTCAGATTGAAACGCCACGTTACACTTTGAGTCGGTTTTTCTTGTTCCAGCTAAATCGAGTACAACTATTTCCATAGAGTTTCCGAATTTCTTCTTCAGCTTGTGAGCGGTAACTATACCTGGAAGGCTGCATCCTAGAATAATCACGTCGGCTTTAATGTGTGTACTCCGACCGTATTTACTAAATGATTGCACCATTGGGTAAAAATTTAACAAAATGTAAATTTTCTAAAAAGTGTTAATATTTAAGCCTCTTGTTATGATGACATTTTGACATGTATGTATTTTTTTTTTGTATTTTACTTACTACAAGCATGTTATGTCACACGTCATCTCCTAATATCAATAAATTGTCATTGTTTGTAAACTACTTGTTTATTACTTGTAGTCAGTGAGAAGCTAAAGTAATAAGGTCATTTTCTAGTCCTTCATATAAAACTGTCTTGCATGAGTTTTGTACAACAAGTCTAAATATAATACATGAACTTTTGTTGAATATGCCAATTTTGACGTCAAGCGCCTGTCCATTGTACGACTTATGACGACGGACGACATTGCGTCGTAAACATGACGTAACGTTTGATCATGTGACGCCGCCCGCGTCATTACCGTGCCCCTGACTCACTGACGAGGTCAATGCCACATGACCGGCTAGTATGGGACTGATTAAATTAAACTGCATTCGACCGCTAACCGACATTGTTGTACTGTGAACGAATTATTGTTGCATCCTATATTTGTTATTATTTATGAGTTTTTTACTTGCTCGGTTAAGCTAGTTTAAAATTTCGATTCCACGAGAACTATATGTTTTTTTTTTTATATTAATTAATTAATTAATATCTTTATTATTACAAATAAAGTAGCGTTCCAATCAAAACATATTTATTTGACGTAATGAAAGCGCAACGAACATTAAGATAATTAACACATTAATATTATTTGTATTTATAAAATTCTAAATAGAATCAACAAATATTTACGAATGATTTGAAATATATAATCTAATGGTATATAATATACTAAAAACTAAGTAAAAATTATTGTTAAAAAAAATTGAAATTGACCGCATAATTATTCTAACAATATGACTTACCTATATCTACTCAGATAAGTTGTTATCAAGTATATTGGTTGCTGTATTAATATATTAAGTGTTTAAGTACGTATTCATTAAATACTGTCTATAGTTTACGCGAGTAGTACACATTTAAATAGAACACTTTAACGGTTTAAAACGCGATATATTAGTTAAACGTATTCCTTGTTTAAGTTAGCAACAGCGTTAGTTAATTTAATTAAGAAGTGAAACATTCGTTTTTGATAATAACTTAATAATTAAAATAACAACAGAGCTATAACATTTTCAGCTGGTATTCACGTCGGGCTAATATGTCGCTGTATAAAATATTAATTACAAATGATAAACGCCTCAATAAATTCCCAATCGGGAATAAAACCCGGCGCTATGTTGAACGTGCGCCGGCGCACGTAGGCCACTTTGGGATGCGATTCCACTGTCTCGCGATACGATTAGAAAGTATGTGTCTTAGTAACAGGATGTTTTTAGGAAATAGTCCAGAAATATCACCTTATCTCGAGAGTCATTCTTGAGAGATATAGTAATCCTTCAAAAAATACTCTCATCGCAACTATATATAGCTTATTTTTGGCCATTCAACTGTAGATAACATAAATCATGAAGTTTTGTCTCAATCTTTTTATTTGAATGAATAAAAAGTAAGGTTCCGTTTCCACTACGTAGGGCAGACAAATTTATTTGCCCATTTCACTGATCGATTGTCTTAAGCAACTTAGTTATTAGGCTTCTGTACTGTGTTCGATCGGAAAAGTATATTTCCCCTGAGTTTAAGCCAAACATTCCCATCTAACGAAATACTTAATACATAAAGTAATAATGTAATTAAAGCTGAACACTCTTTGCTGAATTAATAGATTTCATTTTATAATTTTAGGAATTCCGGCACGTCATTAAAAATATGCAACACAATGGAAACGCGCAGCCGTCGCGGCTGTAATGCGAATTGAGCTGGTTCCCATTCAGGCCGAGTTGACGACACGAGACAAAACTGACTACGAAGAATTATAAATGTATTTTATGTTTATTACAATCGGAATTTTTTTTGGCAATAACGCATTCATTTCAAGGATTTAGATTTCAAAGCCGGACTTGTTTTGCGGTAAACATCAGTTGTACTTTGTATCTGTAGTTTTTTTAGACGGATAATTAAAACTCAAATTAATATCAAATGGTCTTAATATTCTACATTAAGATTTAAGAAATGATTTTGTTTTATTTTTTGTGAAAAATATCTTCAATTCATTTAAATATACATATGTTTTTTTTTCTTGTGAAAGTGGAATATTTAGTATTAGGTTGTAGGTTATGTATGTAGGATACATTTGTAGTACATAGTGTATTGTCTCTTTAAAATATAAATCATTTACTTAATTTATTACACACATATAAATAGCCGTAACATTAATGGAAATTTCACTTTATTTGTCAACCCTATTAATTTATTAGAAAAATCTAATGCTCAAGAACACTTGTAGAATGCAATGCGTTTCACACAAAAACACATTCTCAACACATCACTATTTCCCCACGTAGATTTAAAATTTATTATACTAGATAGGTTAATCAAAGCCAGTTGACGAAGAATTTTCGTAATTTTTTTTTAGTTTTAATTATAAACAAATCTGTAGAAATCCTGAATAACTTATTTATAAAATTTCAGCTTAGAAAGATGTGTGATCTTTGCCAATTATTAAATTGCTATTTTCAATTTTGCAAAAAATAATGTGGAAAATAAGGTAATTAAATAAGGAACCATTAAAAAGAAAATTAAAGATATAAAGAAAAATTTTATAAACAGTTAAAAAATCCTTACCTCTCATATATGTAATTAAAATTTATTTTTTCTGATAATTCTAGTACGTATTAGTTTATATCCTTGTTCAATTTCTTCAGTCACTATTAGCACCTTTATAGTAGTCGTTAAAATGTCTAGAAACAAAAACACGCTCTAATAAAGATTTTAAGTGACCAAGTATAGCTAAGAATCTTCAAGTATTAATCAAAGAAGTGAACATTATATTTCTCGGTTGTCTTTTAAATGTCGGTTTAAATATTATCCAAGTGTTTTTAAATTGGTTGTGCTTTGCAACACCCTTATGTCCAGTCTTTGTATTTTACCTATTGGTGCCTAGAGCGAAAGGATGCCGGTTTGAATTCCGGAAAAATAAAATTTGTTTTTGATAAACTAATTTATGTATAGCAATTATCAACGCGTCGTGGGTTCGATCACCACTGCGTCCAACATTTTATAATTTTTCTGAAACATGTTGGATTTCGTCCGGAAGTCTGGATATTAACTCGGTGGTAGGTAAATCAAAATTCCGTCTGATGAACCACTGCCAACGGATAAAAAAGCCGCGAAGTTAAATCGCGTATCAGTTTGAGACTGTGGATTTCCGAATATCCAAAGTTAAAATAGGTCGACTGTGCATCATGTTTAGATGTTATATGTCTACAATCATATGAACCCCAATGCTTGCTCCTCTATCTACAGAAAAATAATCAGTTTTTACTAGTAAGTGAACAAAGATTATGTTAAACGATATTAAATCTCTATCTTCCATCGTATCTTAATTACAAGTTCCAAAGATAAATATCATAAATTTCTTGCTTTTAATTTAGTACAGAATTGTATTGATTATGCTAACGTTATTTTAATAATTAAGGTGCTCTGAAAAAAATTGGTATTTTTTCATAAGTTCTTTCTGCACCAGTTGTCTAAAATACATACCCCATTGTTTTTCTTTATCATTCTTGAGGCATATCTGCTTTAGACAGGTAATAATTCTACAACCACGTTTAAGTGTTGTATTAAAACTTTTACGATTCTTCTGAGAGTACTATTATTTAGATATAATGTAGAAGCGACCAACGATAGTCTTAAAATAGATGACATTTTCTTTTTATGACGTTTTAATGTAACACTTAAGTTTTATGATTACGTCTGTTAAAAGGCAAGTTATATAAGTTCTGAACCTAAAGCAAAGTACATTATTAGTTTATACTGAGTGTCAAAAATAATATATTAATTAGTAGAAACAAAATTTTAAATTGAAAACTTAAAATCTACATATTCTATAGCAAATAATGGCTATATGCATGCAACAAGTATTTATAATTCATATCACGGCGCCAGATCAGGTGGACATCTTGTTAAACATAGCTGCTAATTATGAAATAAATATTTAGCGTTTTTATCTGTAATAAATAGTCATAAATAATTTAAAATGTTCCTCAAATGAAAGTAATGATTCAAACAGTGGGTAACTATGTTGTAGCCGCATTTTAATTGTGTTGATGAGTAAAATGGCAACATTACAAGATCAAATGAAATACGAGCGAGGGAAGTGAAGGAAGGTACCAATTACAGAAATGTGAGCCCTGCCGTTTCGACGAAGAAGGTGTTACACGTAGCTATATGATGGATGGAAATTGAATCGTATTTGAAAGGAGTACGAGTTGTATTCGTTTGAAGGTGGTGAGAGATTTGCAGTGGAAGCTATTTGGCATAGATTTGATATTTGCAATGGGTGCAGCGACCTGCTTCAGCCCAGTCACGTAGGCATTTACTCCTTGGAAAATCTATGAAAAAGATAACGACATTTGAAAAATAACCGGAAAAAACCGAGTGTACGAGTAGAATAGGCAATTTTTATGTCATCATCTAAAGTACAAATCTCTTTCGACTTGTTATTTCCATTAAAAAATATATTATTATTTTTAACAAAAAAGTAATAAGTAAAAACGATGAATTTAAAAATCGAAAATAAATTGAAAAAACTATGAAATTATGTAATACTTCAATTTCTTCTCCTAATCAACCACACTTTGCTTTTCAAATATGGCACATATTGTACACCAATCGACATTTTGAGTGTTGAAAAAGTTGATTGGTGAAATCAAATATGTATGTGTAATCTACGTGGACAGGTCTGCAGCTCGGTTACATAGCCACTTGTTAGTTTTAAACGTATAATACGTAGTTAGATAAGTATTATACCAGAATACGCCGTGAATACCAGAAGGGCTGATTGAAATAAGTTATTTTTTTACGAATTAACCGAATGGTTTGCTTTTGATTTTTAGAATGTGGTTTGAATGGCATAATATACGAAGAAGACGATAAAGTATATTCTATTGGGAACATATTGCGTAGGTTATATTGGGATAGTATACCCAAGTTTTTGGTCATAAAATTAGATCGATTTCAGTAAAATTGTTCACAGAACAGTACTTCAAACCAGCGAATTCATCAACAGATACGTGCTTATCTAATTAATTTATCCTAATTAGTGATTGATGAAAATCTCCAAAATGTCAAAATAATCTTATCACAAAAATAATCCATCAAATAATTTGCAGTTCTCTGATTTTTTTGATGTATAAATTAAAATTTCCTAAACCAAAAAACGTATTCTATTAGAGCAGCTATGAAACTGTGTCTGATAATTCTTGGAATAACTGCAGCATTGGCTGCTCCTCCAGGTGAATATGAAACAATAGCCACTGACTACCACAATGCTTTTGGAATCCCAGAAGCAGCAAGGATCAAAGCAGCTGAAGCTGCTGAAGACTTCGATGGCTCCCGAATAATTGGTGGATCACTCGCATCTTCCACGCAATTTCCTTACATGGTAAGGCTTTTAAACCGCAAGAATCGCTGCATTTTATAACCAATATTTGATTTACATACATCACTTTAACGGTTAAAAACGTGGTACAACTTTTAGTTATTTGAAACTACGGCCCGACGTTTCTTTTGAGATTGTGACTTTAGACTTTCGACTTTTCGTGTAAAATGTTTTCGGTAAAATGTATATCACGATTTTAAACCTTTACAAGTTATGGTATTTAATATTTGATTTCCAAAACTTTCATAGCTTGTTACATCTATGACATGTTAACTTGGTTGTGCCATTGTATTAAAGTTGATTATAACAGGGCGGTCTTGTCATCAACTTGACTAACGGAAGACAGTCAGTATGTGGTTCTGCTCTTATCTCCGCTACTAGAGCCGTAACTGCGGCCCATTGTTGGCAAACAAGACAGAGCCAAGGCCGTTCTCTCACTATTGTTCTTGGCTCTCTCCGTCTCTTCTCCGGTGGTACCAGAGTGTCTTCCAGCAACGTTATCATGCACGAGTCATATAACATGGACAATCGTAGAAACGATGTTGCCGTAATAGTTCTATCCAACGTCGGACTTAACAGTGAGTATTTATTTATTATTATTTAGCATTCATCGCTTATGTTATTTCTTCGTAAGCTTTATAAAAATAAGTGTCATAAAAATTGCAAGAAATTCTTTGTATTGACTGCTTTTTTGTGTGTAAAATGTGAAGGCAATTATGTATCGCGTCTTATATGGATCTGTTTTTGTTCCTGTAAGAATTAACGTAAAATTGCCAAAACCAAAATCCATTTTATACAATTTTAGTTAACATCGGAGTAATTGATCTTGCCTCTGGCTCTGATCAATTTGTGGGATCCTCAGCATCAGCTGTTGGTTTCGGCAGGACTTCAGATTGTAAGTACATTTAAATTACACAGTACCATTCAATCATACCGGCCCATAATGACAATTCAAAATCAAGCGTTTGGATATATTCTTTAATAAAAAAAATATCCGTTTACTTAAAGACTTGTACATAACGTACGACTAAAATAATTAATAATAAAACTTCCAGACACTTTCCAGGTCGCCAGCGCTCTTGTTGAGATGTTATATGGCTAGGTTATTTCATCTTCAATCATGTGGACCTTATGCTTCTTTTTCCTCCCCTATCATAAAAAATGTGAAAACAAAGTACAACTTTAAAATAAAAAATAAAATATACTATATTTCTTTAAAATTAAAAAAAAAATATTTAGATTCGTCAAATTTCTTTTTGTTTGTCTGTTCGTCGTGATTCTACAGAGTGTTGCAAAAAGCAACATAACTGAGAAGAACACTGAAGAAACTCAGTCCGGCTCTTTTAAAAAAGTCTTATAAACTAATACATTGTTGTAAATGTATTAACCTAAGGAGCAATTCATAATACTGCCAGGCGGCAGTCTTGTCATTAAAGAAATAGTTCAGGCAATAATAATACGCCTTTTGAGACAATATAAATTTTATAACTTTTTAGATTTATTAATCGATAAATTTGAAATCTCGACTGACAATGTACATATAAATACGAACGAAATTCTCTTCTAATGACGTCTAAAAAATAAGTACAGTCTAAAAAGGTATCTGTCGTGTAGCTGTTTCGTGGATTCGTCTCGACCGTATAAGCTATAAAAATACGACCATAAACATACGATATTTATAAGTTATCTAAACTTATATTATAAATGCCGATTTAAAAAAACATACCATTACAAAGCTACATTCAACTTGAGTAACACAGCCTAATTTTACGGCTAATATATTATAATCGTCACGCTGTTTGAATTGTATACATTTCAGCTTCATCGGGAGATATCACCACTGCCCAAGAGTTAAGATACGTCACTCTCGACGTCATCTCCAACGACGACTGCGCAAGAGTATACGGAACTTATACCGTCGGTTCGTCTACGATTTGCGTCTTTACTGAAAGCAATCGTAACATTTGCAACGGGGACACCGGCGGTCCTCTTGTCGTCGACAAACAATTGGTGAGCTAAATCAATAAATTTTTTTTCTTGTTAGAGATGGATTTCACGGGATTAAGGCAAAGTTACAACCTCTTGAATGCTATTTGATACAAGTCTTTCTACGAGGTTATTTTGGACACTAGGTTGTAATTATGTTTTATTTACTGTTTTCTTAATATTTAACTCGCTATACATTTACGTGTTATAAGGTATATATGGTAACTTACTTGCTAAAGCTCTACAAAACAAATTTTATGATAATAAAGTTATACACACAAATCTACTATCTTACCCTCCTCAAGTTATACATTAAATAAATCGAGATTAGTTTCATATTTAAATAAAACACTTTAACGGTTTAAAACGCGATATATTAGTTAAACTTATTTGAAAATGATATTTGACTTCGGCCCGATGTTTCGGATGCTTTGCAGCAGCCGTGGTCACGGGGACACACGGTCACGACACGGAGGACACGGAGAGAACAATATAATAAGTTTAACTAATATATCACGTTAAAGTGTTTTATTTAAATATGTACTACTCGCGTAAACTATAGACAGTACTTAGTTTCATATTTATAAAGAAAAACATACCCTGTTTTTTTCCTCATTATTTATACTTTACCTATGTTCCAATCGAAACCTATAAGGTTTTTTATTTATCTTAGTAATTTGTTACATTTTTCTTTAAATCAGTTTTTTTTTTTTTTTTTTGATTGGACTCTTACGTATTGTGTTCCTAAGGAGCCACGAATACTAACCGGGCGTTTTGGGCGAGCGCGACAGCGCTCGCCGTGTTTGCGGCTAGACCAAGGGTGCCCCGAGGGGGTTTAAATCAGATTTCATTTCCAATAGGTCGGCATCGCGTCATTCGTCGCTGCTTCGGGATGCCAGCAAGGATTACCAGCTGGCTTCGCAAGAGTTACCTCCTTCAACTCCTGGATTCGTAGTCACATGTAAATAAATAAAATGCTAATGGATTTTGTTAAATAAATGCACTGAATAAACTATATTTTACTTTTTGTTAAGTGTGTATGTTTTATAAAACCAATCGAGCACCTACAACTGTTTACTTTTTATTTTGAAATAGTATTGTGAAGGTATAGTATTTTGGCAGAAGTGTCAAAATTGTGAAGCTGTGTAAAAACGACACTTCGACCGTTTTCAATACAATATACGGCACGGTAAAATGCATTTATGAAACATTAGCCGGACCCGCGACTGCGTTTGCGTGGAATAGTGACTTGCGGGAGAATTATTCATTATTTAGGCTGTTTATTAATTTATGTAATAGCGCATTTATCGCTTACTTTGCCGCAACACTCTCACCTCACATCACTCCTACTCTAACCCCCGCTCCCGCTCCCACTCCACTCCCACGCCCACGCCCACGCCCACTCCTATTCCCAAAAAGCCAAAAAAGAAAGTTTCATTGTTCTAGCTTAAAAACCACGAATTTCCATACAAACTTTCACCCCCCTTTTAACCCCTTACTACCCCCTTTTCGCAATAAAAAGCCTATGTCCTGTCTCGGGACGGGTCTAGTCCATCTATGTACCAAATTTCATTCAAATCTGCTAAGTAGTTTTGGCGTGAAAGAGTAACAGACAGACAGAGTTACTTACGCATTTATAATATTAGTAATAATGACAGGCTCGTTGGTCAGACGGTAGCTTATAATGAACGGGGCGTGGGTTTGACTCCCATAGAGTCTAACATGTTTCTTGCTCAATTTTTCTGATACATGTCATGCCTTCGTCTGGAAATCTGGATATTGAATGGGTTATTCGATATATTTGTGGACGTTATATATAGATATAGGTTACAGATAAGCATGGGGATGTTTGTCTAACAACCTTTTAACATTATTTTTCCCTTCTAAGAAAAATGTCTTCGAAATCTTGAACAATAAACTTCTTTAGCCTGTCATTTAAACAGTCACCCATTTTATGACTATAATTTTGTCTTTTGGAAACAAATGGGAACCTATTCCTTAATCTCCATAAGTCCTACGCATTGACATTATTACTGCAACATTGAGGAACATAACAAATGTTGTGCTTCTGCTTTTATTGATCATAGATTTTTTATTTTAGGATTTAACCTCCAGTTATATCTATAAGAGTGTCGTTTAAATGTGCTTATTAAATCCTTCAATTGAAATCAACATTATGGTGGGGGAAAAACTGTGTTCTTATTCATCCGGCTGAAACAGACTGAGATAATATGAAATTCTGTAGTTTACACGTATGGTACAAGTCAAACCTAGCGTTTTTAGTTGTTCCATCGCGAAATATGTTACTAAATAAGTTTTAAGTGCAGCTGCTAAATCCGAATCAAGTCATAATTTCACGTCTAAACCATCAAAGCTGTTTTATTTAATACCTAACCTCAAAATAATAAAAGATAAATGAATTTTACATTAAGTTTATCTTAATCATATTATTTGTAATTTCCTGACTATTTATCGTAATATGGTTTCCTTAATTTTGATGTTCAGATATGATTCACGATTTAGCAATATTATAACGAAGTACATTGCATGTTCTATGTATTGTCTTGGAGAGGACTTCTCAGAGAAATGGACTACAATCTGCGACTCTTGCCTCATCTCCACTAATAGAGCTGTGACTCCTGTCACACAAAGTTTAGCCAAGGCCGTTCTGTGGCGGTTACTTTCGGCTGCATCCGCCTTCACTCAAGTGGTACCAGAGTCAGCTCTTAGAATATCATTCACGAATCCTGATTACTAAATTTTTAAAGGAAGTAAATACTATTTATTATTTTGCCTTACGTTATCTTAATAAGATCCATAGTGGGAGGCTTAAATTGATATTAATTATAGACTTGTGAGGCTTTACGTACAGTACATAGAATGAAGAGTAATTGTTGAACCTTCTAGAATATATTACAGACATTCCCTTTCCTACATACGCCAAACACACTTCGACAAATACTTAGAATAGAAAAAGAAATTACAATTTATTCATAACTTAGACTCAACGTCAGTTACAAACACCAGGATTTCGGCGAAAAGTAATTATAGTACCCACCAGTAAAAACTTTTTATTACAATTTTTTAAACATTTATTTTTAAGCATCTGACTATTCGCAACGTGTCGCTAGGAAATCAAGACTAATTCTACATAATTATGATAAGACTAAGTAAAAAAAGTACTTATTTTATCGTGAAATCCGTTATCGTGGGTTTTTACGTTGTTAAAACACAAAAAAATATGTTTTACCGACTGAACAAAAAAGAAGTTATAGAAGGATTTTTTTAAAGAAGTTTGTGTGAAATAAGATGTTTTGTCTGAGTAATACAAAATACATACCTATTTTAAATTATTATTTTCTGTCTGTACATAGTCTGAAGATATCTACTTCAATTATTGATAGTAGTGAAGTGTGTATTTTTTTTAAATTCTTTATTATGAATCCATATTTAAATGTAAGGTGCAAATAGAGTGCCCCTAGTCCCCACGATAGGGCAAGTCTGTCTCCAGTCTCTTCGTACCAAAAAGCTAACTTATGTATGAATAAGTATAATGAAATATTAAAAAAATAAAACAAATAGTGTTTTTTGTGATGCATGTCAGAGTGAATTTAAATTTATTAATTTCATTAAAAATATACATTATTTGTAAATACCTACTGTCTATAGTTTACGCGAGTAGTACACATTTAAATGAAACACTTCATCGGTTTAAAACGCGATATATTAGTTAAACTGATTTAAAAATGATTGGTCTCCCCGTGTCCACGGCTGCTGCAAAGCATCTGAAACGACGGGTCGAAGTTAAAAATCATTTTCAAATCAGTTTAACTAATATATCGCGTTTTAAACCGTTAAAGTGTTTTATTTAAATACATTATTTGTATTCGACTAACATATTTATTTGGAAATTCGTAATAATGTGCCTGCAGAGAGTTCCCTGAGATTCAGGAGATTTGTGACTACAACAAGTGTTTCAAAAACCTGCGCACCCCAGACGTGTGTAAAATAAACCCAAAAAAAACTGAGAATTACGTAATCTCTCAATAAATACAACGTCATATATAATTTCTGGACTTACCCAATTATAAGCTATTTTAATTCAGTATCAGATAAAATTAACAAAATTAATTTATTATCTAATCAAATCGTTTTGTTCATCAATCAAATATCGTTTTTTGGGGTATAAATAAGGATACAAAATGCAAACAGCTAAACCATTACGGCAACGCAACAATGAAACTGTTCCTGGTGATTCTTGGAGTAACCGCGGCTCTTGCTGCTCCTCAAGTTCAATATGAACCCATAGTCAACGAATATCACATCGAGTTCGGAATCCCAGAAGCAGAAAGGATCAAGGCAGCTGAGGCCGCCGAAGACTTCGATGGCTCCAGAATTGTTGGTGGATCAGCTGCAAGACTTGGTCAATTCCCGTACATGGTAAGGCCTCTACTGGAATTTCTAATGAACATAAGTTGGATGTGTTTTTAATGATTTATTTTTACGGAGCATTAAATATTATAGGGTGGCTTAGTGATCGACCTTGCCGACCGCAGACAATCAGTATGTGGTTCTTCCCTCATCTCCGCTAACAGAGCTGTGACAGCTGCTCACTGCTGGCGCACAAGGAACGCCCAAGCTGTTCGTTTCACCGTCGTCCTCGGCTCCCTCCGTCTCTTCTCCGGCGGTACCAGAGTCGCCTCCAGCAACGTCATCATGCACGAATCCTACAACATGGACAACCTTAGGAACGATGTTGCCGTAATTGTTTTACCCAATATTGGATTTAACAGTAAGTTCTTATAAATATCTCTTTGTCGTTGTTACTGTTGCTATTTTTCAAATGCATCTACGAAAGATGTAGTGAAGCAATTTCATAATGAACTATTTATTTATACTAATAAATAGTTGGCGCATTTTTAACACACATGTTCTCCTTTCAGATAACGTCGGAGCTATCGGTCTTGCATCTGGTTCTAACCAATTCGTTGGATCTACAGCCACCGCAGCAGGTTTCGGCAGAACCTCTGACTGTAAGTTTAAATTTCCAAAACTATTCCGAAATAGCCTCGTAACAAGTTTATTCACGCACATCTACCAAATAAAGCACTTTTTCAACAGTTAAATCACAAAATAAATTCATTAATTTATTCGACCCAACATTTTGCATGCTTCTCCTGCAGCAGTCGTCGTGGTCACGTGATCATCGTGACCCTCCTCTTGCCTCTTTTTTAAATTTTTAACATTTCGTTTGCTCGCGTTTCCTTCAAAGTTGCGTGTACATAGTACTAAAACAATACTACATAAGCTATTGTCTCTACAATATTATGTTTACATTGTTTAGCTTTTTGTAAATCAAATACATCAGACGACAAAAATGAATACATAGTATATTTTAATAACAACTATTCGCAAATTTAGTTTAGGATGACGGGCCCATTACGTGACTGCTGGTATGTTAAAAGAAACCAAGTTCGTTTTGTTAATGGTGCCTAGTTTGTTTATTTTTTAATTTACTGCGTTTAATCCACTTTCAAATAAATAAAAAATACGATTATTTTTGCAGCCGCAGGTATCTCGCCTAACCAAGCTTTGAGCCACGTCAACCTTAATGTCATCACCAACCAGGAATGTTCCAGAGTTTACGGAACAGGCACCGTCATTGCCTCCACCATTTGTGTTTCTGGCGCTAACGGCCGCAGCACCTGCGGTGGTGACTCTGGTGGCCCTCTGGTGGTCAACAACCAATTGGTATGCTTCACTAATATTACTCATACTTGTTTGAGGAGTTTAAAGATGGAGTTAATAATAAATTATTACTTACTTTCATTTACGAATTACTTTATCGAAAGTGGTACCAAGTTTAATCTAGGTACTCCAAAGAAAAATTCTTTTTTAAATTACCTCAAAATATATTTGAAAATTTAAGAAGTTTGTGAAGACTTAGGTTACAAACAGTACTATATTTTCTTATGATACTATCAAATAGAATTGTCACATACTTCTCCTTGTCACAGATTGGTATTACATCATTCGGTGCCAGAGCCGGTTGCCAGAGAGGTTTCCCAGCTGGTTTTGCAAGAGTAACATCCTTCAACTCCTGGATCCGTGCTCGCATGTAATTTATTTAATTGTGATTTTATTAAACAAATAATATATTTTTATTTAATATATATTTTCTTTCTTTTTTATATCAATATACTTTACATACATTATTTCAATAATTAAAAGACGGTGCGATAAGAAATCTTATTTTTTTATGATTTAGTCAAAGAAAATAATTTTGTATGACATTAGCCAAGACACAGTAATTTAGGACGATACAGCCTGTTTGAATCTCACTTCGTTGCTGACTTTATTTATTTAATTCAATGTATTCGTACGACTAGCAGAAATGAAGGAAATTGGCTAATCTTTCGTAGTAAGGACAAAACTTAAGGAAAAAGTACATTTAGAGGTATTTTAATGTGAATATATTTATAAAATTAACGATCGCTAGAGATCATAAGAAAACATATAATTTTCTCAAAAATAAACTGCCTTAGAAGTGGGAACTGACGCGTCAAAAGTGACTGGAGAGAATTGCATAGTAGGTGAATAGAGATTCCAAAAAAAAAACATTATATTTCCTCCTTATTTCCATAACATTATAAATATTAAAGTTCATATAATAAGTCCAGTTCATCGTATGAATTTAAAATTACACTGATCATGGACTATTAAAATCACAATGACTCAAAATGTATAAAGGAAACAAACTCTTTTTTTTTGAAACGGCTAAAACCTCCTATATATGTATAATTTTAGCAAAGCCGTAGTAAGGATATTAGTATAATAATATAAGCACTAACTACACGGCTTGCGTTCGTAATGTCGATAGTTCTATTCGTTACTCCAAAACTATGTACGAAAGAATAATTCCTCTTGAAATGATGTAAAAAATGCATAAGTATTCTATCTTTAAAAATGAGGGAGTTTGAAAAACAACAGAATTTGTTTCCCAAAATAACATTTCTACGCGGACGGAGTGCCAGCGCACAGCTAGTTTATAAATACAATTCGTATAGCCTTCGTAGGTTCGGGTTTAATTGATTGGCGATAATTGCAAGGTGTCATAAAGGATGTATTTATGTGAAATTATAATATTTATTGAGGCTTAACCGTTGCTTATATTCACATTGAAGCAGGTTATAATTTAAGTTGTATAAGATCGCGGTAAAACTGGTTATTGATCTTGATAACCATTTCAAATTGTAATATTTCACTTCATAATTATACAGCGAGTATTGTCTGCAGTTTACACGAATGGTACATATTTAAATAAAATACAATTAACAAATTAAAACGCGAAATATATATATCTTAATTGATTTTTAACTACGACCCAATGTTTCGGATGTTTGCGGCAGCCATGTATTATAGAATATTCAATATTCAAAGCGAAATTTCATAATACTGTATTTAAAATAAATAAGAACACTTTAGCAAACCTCTTGCTGGTCTGCTAGTTCAGATACGAGGATAACAAGCCCAGACTAAAAAATATCAAAAATTTGAGTAAAATTTGCACATACATACAACCCATACATAATTATAAAAAATAACTAGAAATCAGAACGAAACGGGGTTGGATTCCCTATAATAGTGAATCAAATGTCTACTGCATATTTTAAAAAGCAACGATAAAATACCTTCTTATAATTTAAGAAAGTTTTTGTTGATTAGGTAATATATGTCGACAATATGTTACGAATACTCAGAAGAGGCGATGGCGTGTACACTAACATGTAATTTTAACTAAAGACTGAATTTACGTACTTAGCGCATATCATCGCCGAAATTGGAGCTTCCCAAACCTGATATATTTTCAAAAATACCTTTAACTTTCTCATGCAATGCATTAAAGAACATGTTTCGGTTGCAAAAGTTTAGGGGCCTTTTAGTGAATAAAGTTTTAATGTTTTAATGTTCCTAAAATACTGAGCTATTTGTTCGACCGTCGTAATTGAGAAATGGTTCTCGACGGTTCTCTATTACGTGTGGACATGATGTTGCGCGGTCTTCGACAAAGCGGTGGGGGAAACCGTTTCCCAAATTCGACGGCCAGATGACACGAAAACCATGGTAGCTTTCAAATTTATGAAATGAGTATTATTATAGGAATATAGAAATTCCGTCCGGGTCACGAACCACCGTCTCAAGATGAAAAAGCCGTAAAGCTTAATCGCGTTTCGGTTTCAGTCTATGGATTTCCGAATATCCACAGCCAAAAAAGGTCGACAGCGCATTTTGCTATATAGTATCTATGGTAAATCACCTCCAGTAAATCTCAAGCCTCTCTAACATAAGAATTAATACATAACACTTTAACGGTATAAAACGCGCTATACATATATCAGTTAATCAATTTGAAAATTATTTTAACTACGGCTCGACTTTTCGGATACTTTGCAGCAGCCGTGGTCACAGGGAGAAAATGATAAAGATGGAAATTGTCTCTAATGTCAAAATAAAAACTGCGACGCTAGCGCCATCTGTTCTGTCGTAGACGGTACATGGTAGCTTTGCAAAATGGCGGCAATAGCTATCATACATATAAAACTAAATGTATTTCAGCTCTCATATGCATAACACGTGAACTAAATATTCAAAGTGGTTTAAGGATTCCGTTATCTCTTTTTTAAGAGGTGACTTTTGAGTGTCGGATGTTGCATGTTATGTGATGCTGCTTATATTATAAAACCATGGAGAAGCTAATTTTAAAGGAAAAAAAAATATTCCCAGTTCACTTTTTATCATTTAGTACTCGTAGTGCAATTAAAGAATCTCTGAAAGAAGAAGATCTGATAATTTAAGCGATATTACGCTACTGTCGCACCAAGGCCCGTCAAAATTATAATCTACACTAATATAATAAAATTGAAGAATGTGTTTGTTTCAACTCGCTAATCCCAGGAACGACTGGTACGAATGGTAAATTCTTTTCGTGTTGTTTGGACCATTTATCGAGGAAGGTTGCGACAAATAGGAGCGAAAAAAGAGAGGGAAATGTGGAAAAAACGCGCGTCTTTGCGTGAGCTACGAAAAAGGTTCGAGAACCCAAAATATATTATGTATACAAATAATATTTAAATAATCTATAAAAATTCCCCGACGGTATATGTCTGTTTAGAGCACGACGGGACGCGGACTATGTCGTAGGTAACAAAAATAATTTATAAAGCTAAAAGGTTAAATAAATGTTGATACCCAAAATAACTATTCCACGCGGACAGTCGCGATCGCAGCTAGTATGTATAATATTAAACAGTTTCTCATATTTATAACACGCTGATAGAAAACACCTCGGGTGCCTTTATGAGATAATTATGCATGTATGTATAATATTAAACACTTATAACACGCTGATACAAAAACACCTCGGGTGCCTTTATAGAGATAATTATCAATACACATTAGCTATTGTCTTAAAATCTGCTTATCGTATTGACGTAGTTGTTGTCAGCATCTGGAGCAATTTGAGCAAAAGAGACAAATCATTATCTTAAGATAGGTTACTGTGAATGACAAATTCACATGCGCAGTCGCGTGAAACTACTGAAAGAGAATTTAAGTTCTATCTATACTATAATAAGCTAAAGATTATGTCTGTTTTTTAAATATAATTTGTATCATAAATTAAATGTGGACGGGAATATGATAATAGTAACAAAAATAAAAAAAATTGTTATGAAAACTCTAATATTTTTCAAATGATGGCAATATTTAAATTTAAAAAGGCTGAGAGTAACAGCATGGGACCCCGTGGATGCGCTTGAAGTTCATGTCCTGCCCGAGACATAAATTTTTCAACTTATAATCGATTTTTAATTTTCTTTCCCAAATGAAGCTAAGCGTGTCGCAAAATATATGTTGTTATTTTAAATCGCCTGAAGTTAGTCTAAAGCCATAATTAAATTAGCGAGGGCGATAAATATAGCGCCTAGTTACATTTGCATGTCAATTATTATAATATGAATTAGCATGCATTAAATATTTATTTTAAATCGCGTCGAAAATAATTAATATTATATAAAACACTAATTCCCCTTTTTACATAGTTTCTTCAATATCTCTTATCATAATCATAAAACAGAACGGCACCTTTCTCTCTTTTGAGGATGGGGAAATCCCAGAGCTGCACTAAATGGATTTCAATGCATTTTACGGATTTTCCATCTATGCGTATAGACGTAGATACATCTAAAGTCTGTGGTTTCACTGACAGACAAGTTGATTAGACTTCTGTTTCCCGGCTCGAAACTATGCTGCTCTAGTACTCAAACATGGTACCACTCGTTTTACAAATAAGTAAGACTACATCAGACTTCTGGATCTCCGCCATCAAATTATTGTTTTCCCGAGAATCGAACCCGGGGTCACATTTTAGCATACCACAAAAAAGGTGATCAGACATCTGTGCTATATGCATAGATTGTCATTTTGTATGACATTTGAAGCTAAGGCTAGTATTTTTTATTCTCGAAGTTTCACAGCATCATTCGTGTATTGTTTAAAATAGCTTCGTTTTTATGACGAACGGTCATGTGAGGCGTCACGAGTGAGCCACAATTGAAATAAACTTTAAACAGAATACGACATCACCTGTTCTTTTGATCTAGAATACATATAATTAGTAAATTTTTTTCTTCTTATACAAATACCCCTTTCGCCTGTATCGGGTCTCGAATAAAAGGCCATTGTTTCTATGTATTGATGTCAGGTACTAAAACGTAATCATACTTTTATACGAAAGGAATTCTATGTGGCCAGGCTTTCTGATAGTTATAGGTCTGTGGTCCATTATTAATAATTTCCGTTATGATCTCGTATTTTCTCTAGTTTACGCTAGTAGTACATTTAACGGGTAAAACCGCGATCATTTCGGATGCGTTGGAGTAGCCGTTCAGGCTTCCGTGACCAAGGCCTTGCATCCGAAACATCGAGCCGTAGAAAAAATAAATAAAAATTAAGTAGAAATATTTCGCGTTTTAAACCTTGTTTTAAGTTACTAATGTTCTAGACCTGGGCATAGGTCTCCTCTGCCATGTGACGTTTTTTCTGACGCGCGGGATTGTAAACTTCCAACTCAAATTTTCTCAACTTCCTAATACAGTGACACTACACCAACCAGTAAGTAAAATAGGCATCGCATACTAATAAAATAGGGGCTTTCCTCAACCTAAGCTTTGCCCGAAGAATTCTTAATCATTGAAAACACAGATTAGTCACATACAAAAAAATTTCTAATAACTAGTTATTTAGTTTAAACCTGAATGTTAATATTAACTCCGACATGAACAAGTACAGTTTTAATGCATAACATGACAAGCTTTTATCGTATCGGTTTTAAGTCGTGCTGTCGTTAAAAAATTTTATGGTCAATTTGACATTATAACTTGAAAATAAAGGCCAAGATTTCCAATGAAAGAAGTGTAAATAGTCTGAGAATGAATTTAAGTACCTTATAATAAACAGATTTTGAAGAGTTTAATATTTTTTACATGTTATTGCACGTGATGGCACTATATATATAGATTAAAAATCTAAAATAAGTTGAACAAATTTTTGACTCGGGCAGGACTTGAACCGGCATCGTCAGCGTTCCGTGCTGTGTCTCTAACCAACTCTACTAAAAACTAAACCTCTTTCTTGTCAACCTCCTCTATCATAACAAAAGACTACCAACCTCACCGCACGTAGTAGCAAGGAAGACGATGTTTACACAATCACTTCTGTTAACCCCTTGCAGTGAATTAAAAAATTGGCATGACTGAATCACAGTGACATATTCACGTATTGATTCATCGTATGATCTAGTTCGTCGTCTAGATATTTAGACAGACTACGTGAGCAACCGCAGATGGCTTAGGCCACTTTCACATATGAGACACATACGAATATTATTTCGTCACATATACAAGGGCGGATCAAGCTTTGGCGCCAGGAGGGGGTCAAGTAGTCGTGGTCAAGTCAAGAGCCTTCAATTTAATTTTGATAACAGTAGATACAAGTAAAAAGTTGGTACTGTATTAATGTACATACGTAAACGCACTTTACTTTAAAATATTCTATTTTAATTATACACTTTAAGAATACACATAATAATTAAGTAAAAAAATCAATATGTTCAATCCACCTAAGTCCTGGATCCATGAAGAGGGGAAGGGTGTGGGTGAGGGGGTAGTGTCATGCACATACACTTGAGAAAGGTTCAGTTTTTACTCTGAGACGCGGGAACGCTGAGAAATAGACTGTAACTTTTGTATCAGTCAATCTAATATCAGTTCCGAATTCAGTTGTTAAAGCCCAAACAAACTCAGATGAAAATGCTATATTTCTAAAATGTTGATATATTTATTGTGATGCTTTATAGCCTATAAAACCTTCTTCTATAAAACCTTCTTCGAAATGGTCTAACCAACACAAAAGGGATTTTTCAATTGGAACCAGTAGTTCCTGAGATTATGACGATATAAACAAACAAACACTTCAGCTTTATAATATTAACTATACATTATATGCAAAATTTACCATTACCTAATACTTATAAACATAGATTTTACACATTGAGAATTCTAGAAGACTTAGTGGCTCAATCAAAAGGCTTATGGGTCTGTTTGTATGACCCCTAAGTGTTATATTGTTTCTTAAACTGATTTATATTATGGTGGACACCGAAAAACCCCTAACCTTAGTAACAAATCTTTTATTATTATCCTTAATTGAATTGTTGTAAACAAAGCAATTTATATGTTCAATTATCGAAATGTAGACGGAAATAACCGGTCTTGTTAGATACAACTGTTTTCCTGTAAACCAATATCCATACTATGTTCAGGCTAAATAAGTATAAAGATATTTTTTTTAAGCACCGATTTCATGACGTCATCAAACGATAGATACATGGTCATTTCCAAAATAATAATCACTAGATTTTTTAATTTGCTAAAACCCTATGATTGAAATAAAACACTTTAACGGTTTACGACATTTCGAATGCTTTGGAAAAGCCGTGGTCACGAGGACTGCTGCTGCAATACATCCGAAATGGTGGGCCATAATTAAAATAGTTTTCAAATAAGTTTAAATAATATATATCGCGTTTTAAGCCATTAATTTTTAATTTAAATGTGGACTACTCGCGTAAACTAAGACAGTAATAAAACCCTATAATTTTATAAGTACCAAACGAAAAAGGTCACTAACATAACAAGTAGTGTACTGTCTATAGCAATACCAACGAGTATACATTTTTTTTCGTTCATGTTTAGTGCAACAAATGTTCGGAACGTTGGAAGCTTGTATCCTCCCTTTTAGCCTTTAAACTGGCCCTGATATAAATTAACATGTTTTTTTATATTATTTTCCTAATTTAAATATATCTTATGTACCTATTATCTTTTAAATAAAACACTTTAACGGCAACGGGTCTCCCCGTGACCACGGCTGCTGCAAAGCATCCGAAACGTCGGGCCGAAGTTAGAAATAATTTTCAAATAAGTTTAACTAATATATCGCGTTTTAAACCGTTAAAGTGTTTTATTTAAATGTGTACCACTCGCGTAAACTATAGACAGTACCTATTATCTTATTCATAGATATTTTTGATTGTTTGAAAACGTTAATGTAATGACAGATTTGTTTACGCTATAAGTTCAAGTTATTGAAGTATACAAATTTTAATAAAAAATTGTGTTCTTCTATTTATGAAACTTATACTGGAGAATCAGACACATGAAATCTAGATGTAGATTAAACGCTTACTTCATAACATTCGTCATTATATTGTTTGCCGATTGATAAATGTTTTTTTTTTATCATAAATGAGTCAAGAACGTGACAAAGATTTTTTATTTAGGAAATAACAATATGCAACAAGCTTTTATCTTAGAACGTATTAAGCATAGCTGTGCATGTACTCATAGTCACTTACTGTTAAAAAAAAGTATTGAACTCGTGTAAAACGGATTTCGATCTAGGTGTTGACGATTATCACTCTGATATATGTACTCGCGGTTTGTTTAAAACTATTCTTAAGGAGTTTAAATAAATTTCAGTTACGATTTGACTTTCGGTTAATGGGATAACCCATAATTTATATGGACTTTGAAAAAGTTATATTTTTACATCCATCACTATAAAGAAAAGATACATTTAAAGTATTTTTTGAAGAATAACAAAATATATAGCCTTCAAAGATAACACGAATTGCGGGGAATTTCTAAAAACTATAAAAAGGACCCAAGATATCCAAAAGTACCGCTGTTTTTATTAATATCTGATAATATTCAACAAAGTATTGCCTCTAACTATATATGTATAGTTATAACAATTGGGTTATATTCTGTCCAAGCTTAACTAGATTGTGGTGATAAAACTTGTCTCTAGCTTATAAGCTATACGTTATTGAGTAACGCTTACAAGATATATAAACTGAATCTAAAACCGATTTTAGATTTAAAACATACGATACAGGCTGAACTTGAAACGGCATCCACTAACCTAACCAATTGCCTTACCGTGTTCTACGCATCATCACCGAGTTGTTTCAACGTATCGAAACACGCACCTCTCGCGCAGAATTTTTGCTTAGTGCCATCATGTTCAATAAGATGTGAAAATACTAACATTTTCAAATTATAAACTAGGAAAACGAATTTTAAGTTAGTGTGTTTTTAAACCGAGCCAAATTTTTAGCTTACAGTATTTTAAAAGATACAAATGAATGCAGAATATAATATGCAATAAGTAAGTCATGTTAATTACTACATATACTCTTAATATAGTAATTATTCTCATCTGTCTGTCGGTCACGTTTTCATTTCTGGGGGCTAAAAATCATAGGTAGTTTGTACTTCCCAATATAGCTGAATCGGTATTTACCATATTACGAGCGTCATTTTTAAGAAATAAACAGTGCATTACCAATGATGTAGTGTTTGAATTGCTTACTAGGAATTGTAGAAATTTTGCGATAATATTTCTCGGAAGTGTTATTGCATTTGAATTGGAATTAAAAAAGTGACCTACTAAGGTACCGTCGTTTTGTAAGGAATTAATTGCTCTTTATTGTATAAGCGTTAGCACTAACATTCTTGATAGTTTTAATTTAAGTGACAATTATCCACGTGCTAAGCGCTTTTATTTCTACGTGCCCGTTTGTGTAAAGTTAGTTAATAATAAACCAATCGTGGGTTCGATCCCCACCGAGTCCAACCTTTTTCTAAACAATTTATAATTTTTTTTTTAATAAGCATTATGAACTTTGGAAATCTCGAAATTAAATCTAGGTCAGGAACCATCGTCCACAGATAAAAACTGTCCAGTTATTAGCCTATTGGTTACAATCTGTAATTTTTCTAATATCCAAAGGCAAAATAGGTCGCTAGCATATCATCAAGTGAAACCCGTGCTTGCCTATCCTCCTCTGTCATAAAAAAAGGAAGATAAACTCCGTTTAACTTGCGATATTTACGTTACTTTGTTGCTTCCTAAACTTTTTCTGAAAATGTGTTTGGGCCTCAAGTGACATTCAAATAATGGTTAAATCCTTCCGGTTTTGAGATTTACTTGAGTTCCTTGTCCTGCCTGCAAATCAGATGACATCCCGTCCAGGTGAAAAACCAATCGCGCTCTGTTATCGGCGTTATCGCGCGTAGAGGGGATAACTGGTCGACTTATATTCTTGATGTCGCTCAGTCTCCACCAGTTGCCAACGAGAACGTACGTCAGTCATGTGTAATGTGTGTACTCGCGAAGCGCCCATCGCGGCGCCGGTTAAACAGAACCAGCCCAACAAGACCCTGGAGAGAATGAAGAAGAAGCACAATATCGTCACCGACCCTGGTGATGAGGAGAAACAAAAGGAGGTGGCCTATCAGCCCGATTTGCTGGCCGTCTCCACGCAGTTCACGAAAATCGCTTACGATGCCTTCAAAGAGGTGATGGCGCGATTGCAAGAAACCAAGGCATATGCGTAAGTACTTATTTTGACAAAGTCCTTATAATCGAGTAATTAATATTCGTTACTAGCATAACATGTGTTGCAGACGTGTAAGCTCTTCTAGGATGCATTTTACTTGTGTTCATTTACATGTGTAACATTTGAATTGAATCCTAAAAATGCAGTATTTTTGCCCTTTTTACACAAATTTATAGCAGCATTTATCTATATTCAGAAGTTACTAGTAAGCAATTTAATTTACTTACTAGTAATTTAAACTTCTTACTGTCAAATTGATGTTGAATAAACAAATCCCTCAACTTTTTTAAGCGACTAATACCTATATATATAATGATTTTGAACTTGAATTTTGACTGTTCGCAAGCTACATTTATGCTTGAACCTTCAGAATCTTACGCCATTCTATTATCGGTTAACGAAATTAATTGATAGCATATTTATCATACACTGAAGTACACTTACCTCATTTAAAACGAATAGATTTTGACGTCGTTAACGCGTAGACAATAGCAAACACTTGTGACGTAGACAACGAAAGTGCGAATAACCTTGAACAAAAATAATTTGCATTTACATTAATTGCACACAGTCAAATAAGGTTTAGTAAAAAGAATTGTCTTTAAGTTGTAAAAAGCTAATAACAAAGAATCAATTAAAACAGTATTACTTCTTTTTTTGGTTAATTATTTTAAAATACTTATTGGTGCCAACAAATTTGTATAATGTAGTCCCTATTTAATGATATAAAAAACATTTAAACTAGCTCTTTTACATGTCGAATACAAAAATTCGGCGCTTGTGCCTTGGATGTAGGTAAAATTAATTCGATACGTGACGGCAAATACCTACTGTATAGTAAGCAGCAGATTGTACAAGTCTCATATACATATAAAGATGTTTGATCTTCTTATTCTAAATTCAGCTACTTTGAAATCAATTAAACATCTAAAATAGCAATAAAACCACTTTAAACGAATCACAAACAATGATTAAATCTCAACGTTTGGGTTATCGTCATCTAAATATAGTGTTGTTTCAATTCTTTGTAAATATTTATTTAAAGTTATATTAGTATTTATTAAAAGTTTCACTTAGGTTGGGTTTAAATCCTACATAAATTACAGTACGAGCCAAGTAGTACCGTTAGCAACTAACGATTGGTTTAAAGATTAATTCCGTTTTAATGAGCGTAGCGTTTTTTTATCGATTTGAATGGATTAAAAGTGGCCTTCTATTGTTTAAAGAATATTGTGTTTTTTATTTCCTCTATTATATCTGGCGCTATGGTAATAATTCTTTATAAAGAAGGAATAATTACGACGTAACATAGTTTAGAGTTATGAAGTATGTATCTGTTTAAATGAAATTTCGTCTGTATAACATTTGATCAGAATATTAATACACAGCCAATAGGCAATAGATACATTAGTTGTTTGAAGAAATTATTATTTACAAACACATTAGTTCTTTACGGTACAATTTAATAGCTAAAACATACAACAACGTAGCTTTCACTTTGAATCTGTGTAATTATAAAGGTTTAGGAAACAGACAATTATTAGAATATCTAACGTTAAATAATAATTTTGCCTCCAACCTACATATCCAAAAGCATCCATTAAAAAAAAATAAGCGAAAATATTCTCGATAATGGAGGTCGTAATCAAGCAAATCCAAAGATAGTTATTTTCAGGAGTATGGACGAACATACTTTTATTATTTGATTTTATACGTGTAACTAGTTCAAGGCTTATAACATATTCTCCGGATTCAAACCCAGGTCGAAGCAAATTGTTGTTAAATTAGGATCTTTATTTTGTCCCAGTTTTATAACATCTTCGCTAAATGAAAGGTAATATTAAAACTGTTCCAAACTCAAGAACAGTTTTGAAGGCCATTGCCTCCACTTTTATGTCACACAACTCGATATAAGTATTACAGAAGCGACAATACCTACCGAAAATTTTCTTTGATGACTACTCCGGCATTTTGCCAGTATGAATAATAATTACACTCAACACAAACAACAAACATTCTCTTTAAAATTATGATATGATATTTGTTATTAACAACTATTATCTATGGTCTATTTAGTTAGCTGATTAAAACAATATATTACAATGAAACGTATTTGAAATATAAGTTAATTCCTATATAGGTTGTTAGAAATCACGTACAAGTATTTCAAGTATAAAGAAGTATATATTTAGAAAAAAATAGATAATTTTGTAAAAAAGTCGCAAATGTTTTATTATCTGTATCTACAATCAAATTCGTTTAATGAGTCTTAAAAATTACCGTCTTTAAGATCTCTTCAAAAATAAACTCTGGAAGCATACCAATTTCTGACGCTACAGAATATTCTAGATTTATCTTCTTAGAACGCATCCATTTGCTTTTACGAATTTTTTTATAAGTTATTTTTTCTAATAAAGTATTTTTGCAAAATCGGTACAAGAAATCTTTTATTAAATTCAAAAATTCACTTTGTAACTCAAATTGAAACCTACATAAATTAAAATTATTATAAGAATAATAATAATTTAACAAATACTAAATTCAATAGAAAGTGTCATGTGACATGTCGATTGTCACTTGTCAATCAAAATCTGCCATTAAAAAATCAATTTAAAATTAATTAACCGGTTTTTACACGTGAGTAGGTATGGGAATTCAAGACCGGTTTTTGTTCTTTCGCGAATGCGGATGCTAAAAAATAAAAAGCTTTCTTTGAAACACATTGAAATCATTCACGGAATTCAGTTACACAATACTTCATAAGCAGGAATAAGCTTATATTGTCATTATCGTAAGTACTAGTTTGATATGGTCTTCCTATTGATAAAGATACGCGCCTTTTGTTATCTAACATATCATAGATAGGTCACACCTCTATTATGTAAACGATAGCAAAAACTACATCAAAAAATGCTTTGTTCGCTTAAATCTGAGATAGTATGACAGGATCTTGCAGAAATTATGGAATATCTCATTGTTTTTTAATATCCGAATCGGGTTCTTAAAGCCCTCTTAGAGGAAAATAATTATACTTCGTATACTTCCCGATTAAATGACTACTTGTTTCCCGTTAATCAGAGGTTTTCCAATAACCAAACAAGATTTTCCGTACAATTCAGCTCTGAAACCGTGCATACAAGCATGTTGTACAGTCGAGATTTATTGTATAGATTTTCGAGTCCAAAACCTCGAACTCTAAATTATTTTATTATGATTCTACTGTATGTTATACAGGTTTTTATGTATTGCCACAACAATAAGAAATATAACAACTAAGATACATTTCCGTGACCCATTTTTATCCACAAATCATGTGTTATTTAACTAACGCCTTAATAGTCAAGTTTTAAAACAAGTTGCATGATAATGATAAACCCTAATGATAAATGGTTTTGAATCCCGGGAAAACATAATGAAATATTTTGCTCGTATTGGGGGCAGAGGGGACAAAATAAAATCACTCATATTAACAGATCCCCACGTAAAGGACACCGCCTCCGTAGCCAAATGCTTAAACGTATTGCCTAGCATTGCGTTAAGCGCGAGAGGTCGGGCAGGGCACAGAAGTCTGATCAAGTATTTGCCCGTTAAATCAGTGAAACGGACACAGAAATGTGTTCGCCCCATGCCCCACGAGGGAGAAACGGGCTTTCACTATTTTCACACGTAAAGTACGTGCCGGATTCCTCTTTAATAAATATATAAAGATAAATTAATGAAAATAAAATCTATAAGACGCAAGCACACTATGACTCGCAAATTTCTGTCTGTGTTCCTATGTGTCTTTCACGGGTAACGACTTCAAGTGCAATAATCTTTTATCATTCTCGTTGTAGCTGTTGTCAATATTGTTTGATTACGTCATACCTAGATTTGCAAGCTGATTGTTCCAAGCAATCTATTGATTGTAAATCTTTTGATTGTTGTCTCCGGGCGTCTTTATAAAATCTGTCTTTATTATACAGCATATATGAAGACAGACTTGCAAAGCCTTTTATTATATTCTGTATTTGTTTATGAATAAAAATACTCCGAAATGCACACATTTATTTCATAGTTCAATTCTCATATTTTAAATCCTTTTATAAATTTCATGGCGTAATGTCGAGCTGTAGCTATGTGATATTAAAATAATTTGCACGAGTGAAGATGCCTGGTTAATTATATGTCAGAGGTAAACAACTACAATGGTGAATAAATTAAACAACGAAATTATATACCCGCTCAAAATTAAGAGAATAAGTTATTTGCACGAGAATATATGTAAAATGAAAAATATGCACCCAGTATCAAACCGTCTTACTATTGTGTTTGAATAAAAATATACATCGTTTTTATAGCATCTCTGATAAAAATTGGACTTTTCACAAAAATCAATCGTCAAGAAGGATAAGATATTATTGTCTTGCTCTATTTTGGTTGTCGGTTTCAAAGGTAAATCTAATCTTAAAATGATTGATTATTTCCTTTATTGCGTCTCTTTAGTTTTCCCTGTTCTGTTAGTTTTGTCTTTGTTCTCGTGCTAATCCCTAATCTTTGTCCTATCTTTATAATCCAATTATTAAAAATCATAATATTGATTTATGATTTATACGCTAACAAGTCAGTGAAAACTGGTTAATGAAGAATGTTAGCACTCTGAGCTTTTTATATTTAGACATGTTATATGGTATGTAAAGCGTACATGTTATGTTATGTTATGTTATGTATGTTAAATTTCACCAATAGGTGTGTAAAAGATAATGTAGTTTGCTTTCTGATCTAGTTATTATGGCGTTACTTATTCTTCGTCTTATATAGCTTACTCTCAAGTAATTTGATTGACATGACAAGTATTCGAACGTACATTTTATATCATCGTCTTTCGGGCTGTTCGGCCGATGTGAGCGAGAAGAGGTTGAGAAAGAGAATGATATACTGAATGATGGCCGTGAAAGCCTTACACAATGTACATTTTATAATCTTAATGTTCACGAAATATTGTTACTCGGGAA